ATATCAAAATATTTTTTTATGGATCTTCTCCATGTGACGATAAAAAAGTAAATAACTACCGATGACGTAATCATTACCTAGACTCCCCTACTCTACATGTCATCCAAAATAAGCAAAGCAAAGACCCCCCCCCCCTCCATAGTGCTTACGTAATACTTGAACGGCCCCATATGAGTGATAAATAAAAGTAATTATTTTAATGTAAAAAAGCGTGGAAGTGCGTTGGTATGCATACATGCGAAGCGAAGATTTGCCACAAATAACTACTTACTGATAGGAGTAGCGACATCGAAGAAATATTTAACACAAAGCACGCCACGCCTTTTTAAATTAAAATAATTTCTTTTATTTATCATTCTTATACATAATTTGAATAAACGAAAATCTTATTTTTATCTATCTATTCATAAAAGCATTGTGTTTGAGTTTGTTTAAAGTAATATTGATTTGTTATTAAAATATGTACATAATGAAAGGATATAGTTACATACATACAAGTGAAGGTAATAAAAGCAGAAAGAGACGAAACCTCTCATCATTCCATGTATTCACGGTGCGTGTGTCGGGTCCATCGTTGTAGTGAGAGGAGCTTCAACAGTGACTGGGACTTGTGACCCAGGTGTAGGTTTAATATATATAGAGAGACGAAACCTCTCATCATTCAATGTATTCACGGTGCGTGTGTCAGGTCCATCGTTGTAGTGAGAGGAGCTTCAACAGTGACTGGGACTTGTGACCCAGGTGTAGGTTTAATATATATAGAGAGACGAAACCTCTCATCATTCAATGTATTCACGGTGCGTGTGTCAGGTCCATCGTTGTAGTGAGAGGAGCTTCAACAGTGACTGGGACTTGTGACCCAGGTGTAGGTTTAATATATATAGAGAGACGAAACCTCTCATCATTCAATGTATTCACGGTGCGTGTGTCGGGTCCATCGTTGTAGTGAGAGGAGCTTCAACAGTGACTGGGACTTGTGACCCAGGTGTAGGTTTAATATATATAGAGAGACGAAACCTCTCATCATTCAATGTATTCACGGTGCGTGTGTCGGGTCCATCGTTGTAGTGAGAGGAGCTTCAACAGTGACTGGGACTTGTGACCCAGGTGTAGGTTTAATATATATAGAGAGACGAAACCTCTCATCATTCAATGTATTCACGGTGCGTGTGTCGGGTCCATCGTTGTAGTGAGAGGAGCTTCAACAGTGACTGGGACTTGTGACCCAGGTGTAGGTTTAATATATATAGAGAGACGAAACCTCTCATCATTCAATGTATTCACGGTGCGTGTGTCGGGTCCATCGTTGTAGTGAGAGGAGCTTCAACAGTGACTGGGACTTGTGACCCAGGTGTAGGTTTAATATATATAGAGAGACGAAACCTCTCATCATTCAATGTATTCACGGTGCGTGTGTCGGGTCCATCGTTGTAGTGAGAGGAGCTTCAACAGTGACTGGGACTTGTGACCCAGGTGTAGGTTTAATATATATAGAGAGAAGAAACCTCTCATCATTCAATGTATTCGCGGTGCGTGTGTCAGGTCCATCGTTGTAGTGAGAGGAGCTTCAACAGTGACTGGGACTTGTGACCCAGGTGTAGGTTTAATATATATAGAGAGACGAAACCTCTCATCATTCAATGTATTCACGGTGCGTGTGTCGGGTCCATCGTTGTAGTGAGAGGAGCTTCAACAGTGACTGGGACTTGTGACCCAGGTGTAGGTTTAATATATATAGAGAGAAGAAACCTCTCATCATTCAATGTATTCACGGTGCGTGTGTCAGGTCCATCGTTGTAGTGAGAGGAGCTTCAACAGTGACTGGGACTTGTGACCCAGGTGTAGGTTTAATATATATAGAGAGACGAAACCTCTCATCATTCAATGTATTCACGGTGCGTGTGTCGGGTCCATCGTTGTAGTGAGAGGAGCTTCAACAGTGACTGGGACTTGTGACCCAGGTGTAGGTTTAATATATATATAGAGAGAAGAAACCTCTCATCATTCAATGTATTCACGGTGCGTGTGTCAGGTCCATCGTTGTAGTGAGAGGAGCTTCAACAGTGACTGGGACTTGTGACCCAGGTGTAGGTTTAATATATATAGAGAGACGAAACCTCTCATCATTCAATGTATTCACGGTGCGTGTGTCAGGTCCATCGTTGTAGTGAGAGGAGCTTCAACAGTGACTGGGACTTGTGACCCAGGTGTAGGTTTAATATATATAGAGAGACGAAACCTCTCATCATTCAATGTATTCACGGTGCGTGTGTCGGGTCCATCGTTGTAGTGAGAGGAGCTTCAACAGTGACTGGGACTTGTGACCCAGGTGTAGGTTTAATATATATAGAGAGACGAAACCTCTCATCATTCAATGTATTCACGGTGCGTGTGTCGGGTCCATCGTTGTAGTGAGAGGAGCTTCAACAGTGACTGGGACTTGTGACCCAGGTGTAGGTTTAATATATATAGAGAGACGAAACCTCTCATCATTCAATGTATTCACGGTGCGTGTGTCGGGTCCATCGTTGTAGTGAGAGGAGCTTCAACAGTGACTGGGACTTGTGACCCAGGTGTAGGTTTAATATATATAGAGAGACGAAACCTCTCATCATTCAATGTATTCACGGTGCGTGTGTCAGGTCCATCGTTGTAGTGAGAGGAGCTTCAACAGTGACTGGGACTTGTGACCCAGGTGTAGGTTTAATATATATAGAGAGACGAAACCTCTCATCATTCAATGTATTCACGGTGCGTGTGTCAGGTCCATCGTTGTAGTGAGAGGAGCTTCAACAGTGACTGGGACTTGTGACCCAGGTGTAGGTTTAATATATATAGAGAGACGAAACCTCTCATCATTCAATGTATTCACGGTGCGTGTGTCGGGTCCATCGTTGTAGTGAGAGGAGCTTCAACAGTGACTGGGACTTGTGACCCAGGTGTAGGTTTACCTAACGCGTTAAACGCTCACCTCCACTGTACAAGCTCCTCTCTCTACCTCACACAATTTGAAAAGTATTGACGTGTTTTGAATTTCAAGCTATATTTTATTTAATACTTGTTAATCAATTAATTCTAATTATTTTAAGTTCATAATTGTAATGTTATTAGTTTATTCAGTAGGTAGATGTTAATATTTTTGGTTTAAATTGCAAGCCAATTCAAAACTTAGATCGGACTATAAAAATCAGCCTGTTGCGAATATTCAAATAGTTTTGATAGTAAAAAGTATAACCTCATTATTGTTATATAAGAAACTAGCTTTCCGCCCGCAGCTTCACCCGCGTGGAGTTCGGTTATATCGCGTTTCCAAGAGAACCTTTCAAAAGTCTGGGATAAAAACTATCCTATGTTCTTTCTCAAGGTCAACTCTATCTCTGTTCCAAATTTCATTAAAATCAGTTTATTGGTTTAGGCGTGAACGCATAACAGACAGACAGACAGAGTTACTTTCGCATTTATAATATTAGTAGGGATTTAATTGGAATAATATTGTCTTCGATGTCATATGACGTCATCATTGACATAAAATTGCGGCAATTTTCAAAATTAAGATTTATGATTCTTTAAGAATAATATAACTCTGGTAAAAAAACCATTTTATATTAAATGTAAAATATTAAATAAACCAAGCAGTATCCTTTATGGCTCTTAGAACAAAAGTTTCTTAAACTTTGTGCTAACTTCAACTACTAACAAAAACTACTGTTGAATTAAAATAGCAATATCACTAATATTAGTAATTGCTAATAATTCATATTAAGGTATAATTATACTTAAATCAAAAGCTTTCATTTATTTAATAAATATGTATCTTTGATGTTAAAAGAAAGAAAAACACGCAAAAATAAAAATTAAAATATGCATTGTTATTTTAAAAACCGATTTGAAAGATTTTACAATGTATTTGTAGTCCATTAAGTGACCAAATAAGACTATCAGGAATGGTCGATATCGGTAGATAAGATTTTGTATGAAAGAAACATTATTGTGGTAACGTGGAACTGGTATAACGCTTGCTTAATATCATGGGAACGAATCAATAAGTGAATATCTACATTTATATAATAATTAGAGGATATTTAAACAGTTGATAAAATTTCAACCAATTATGTTATAGTTTTGTGGTAGAAATTTAGTGTTTAGTGCAATAATTTTGAGTTTATGTTATTCTTCAACAAGGATGTCGTTAAGTTCTCTAGTAAGTACACCAATTTATCTGTGACGAATTTATCTATTGATTTCACGAACACTTAGAGATAGAGCATAAAGATATGTTTTTTTCCTTTTTTTTATGTATATTTTGTATCTTCTATATATATAAAAATGGATTGCTGTTCCTTAGTCTCGCTAAAACTCGAAAACAGCTGAACGGATTTATCTTAGTCTTGAAATGTTCGTGGAGGTTCAGGGAAGGTATAAAAGCTGAAAAAAATTTATTCATTACTGGGAAAACCATAAAAACAGCCTTTTTCTATTTCCCATACAAACGTTTTTTTGACATTACATTTGACAACTAACTAATATGTCAATCATTCTGTCTCACTTCAAAACCCGGAGATTTATGGCTTACAGGTAAACTCCAAAAATATAAATAAAAAAACGTAAAAGATATTTCTTGATTATAGGGCGATACGAAGTTCGCCAGGTCTTCTAGTTTGAAATAAATATTTTCATAGCAAAAAGTATCAATAACAAACTGTTTATTTAGTTTGATTTAAAAACAAAATTTGTGTATATTAGACATAAAACGAGAATTTCTTTCGTCTTATTTTTGTTTTCACAAGTTTGATAAATAAACTATTTAAATAGCCATCAATAATCTACATATAAACTGCATCATATGCCGTGGAATTTCCGATCATTTTATCATGTGAGGAATCATTTTAAACTTCCAGCTTCTTTAATCACTAAACGTGCTAGATGTAGCTAGTCCATTAATTTCAGACAGACCCTACCATATACCCAGCTGTTGCATATTAAACAGAATAACTTCAATTATGATGCAGAAGATTCTCTGCGTCCCTCGCAAGAGAAGGGTCAGGATTCGACTGGTTCTGGTCATCATCACAATCATCTCCCTTTATATTGGTTGGCATCTATCATACGAATGTAGCATTGCCTTGTTACCTCCACAACCTAATCTGGCGTTAGATCACTTCAGAACAGACAGAAATCTGAAGAGCTATCTCGATAAAATGTGAGTATTATATACGTACTAACTTTCCGCCCGCAGCTTCACCCGCGTGGAGTTCGGTTATATCGCGATTCCAAGAGAACCTTTCTAAAGTCTGGGATAAAAACTATCCTATGTTCTTTCTCAAGATCAATTCTATCTCTGTACCAAATTTCATTGAAATCAGTTCAGTAGTTTAGGCGTGAAAGCGTAACAGACAGACAAAGCTACTTTCGCATTTATAATATTAGTAGGGATATATGATTTAGTTCACGAGTATCCATGTTTTATTTATAAATTTTTATATATGACAATGATAAGAAAAGCAGACCCTGGCTAAAGCTGGGAAATTGCCAGGTAGAAGATGATAAGGTGAAAATAATGACGAAACGTTTTCTATGTAGTGTCATTGTGAATTTGTGATGACAGTGGTGATAGAAAACAATGAATTGAATGACTAAAGTTATATGTAAATTTACAAAAATAATTTTCTTGTATATTTGTTTGTGTCTTGAAGAAAAAAAATACATTGCAATTTTGAGTACATATTGAATAACAATCTATTAAGATTGATTGAAAAAGCTGTAAATACTTTTCATATTTAGATTGTTTTTTACAAAAAATAGAAGATTTTATTTAAATGAAACTAATATTTTTCGTATTATACTACGAGTATTTATTTTTTTAAACTACATACTCCTGACGTATAATAACTTTTCATCAACCGTGATCATGCGACGAGATGTCACAAGAAATTAGTATAATCCGAAAAATATTATTTCATATAAATTAATACTAACGAAAGTCTAAGATTTTGTATAAAACATTTCAGAAATATCCTGATAGAACCTTCGAAGGTAATATGTCCCAAGACAACGCAGTTACTGGTTCTGGTGACATCAGCTCCCGATAGATTTGAACATCGTGATGCTGTAAGGAGTACCTGGGCATCACATTTCCCGACGTATTTCATCATGGGTCTTCATGGAAACGCAGTTGAGGATTTGATGGTGAGACATAGTTCGATCCTAATTTAATTGTGCTATATTGATATATAGAGAAAACTTAAATTGATATCAAAATATGTTATCAAAGTTCTAAAAACATACAAATGCCCATTAAGGCTTTGAGATTTTTATTGCTAACTAAATTTGTCATACAATTTATTGCAATAGTCAAATGGTATATAGTCATGTTTCTTGTAATCGTTACGAAATAAACACAAAGTATTAAAATACATAATATAAACTTTGTTAATACCCTCGTTGATTTCTCAATAAAAAAATTGGGAGACCATTAGACGTACAACATTAAACAAATCTCAAATATATCTATTTGTATTAATTTAAGAAGAAACCTAATAATACTAGGTAATACTAGGTAATACTAGGCAGACCCTGGCTAAATTGCCATTAAGAAGAAGGACTTGACAGTAATACTATAAAATATTTTCAAGGTAGAAAACTACGTGGAAGCCAAGATGCATGGTGACGTCATCATATACAAGTTCAAAGATCACTATCAAAATCTGACTCTCAAGACGGCCCTCATGCTGGAGTGGACGGCCACCAGGTGTCCCACGGACCTGGTGCTGTTCAAGACTGATGATGATGTACTGGTGAACCCTTGGGTCATGAGGCGGCTGGTGAAGGAGCACGCTGGACGGGATCTTGTCGGTATGACATATATATAGCTATATATATCTTATATATCTTTATATATACATATGTATAAAAATGAATTGCTGTTCCTTAGTCTCACTAAAACTCGAGAACGGCTGTACGGATTTATCTTATCTTATTGAAATGTTCGGAGGTTTAGGGAAGGTTTAAAACTGAACAAAATTGATTCATTTCCGGGAAAACCCTACAAGCAGCCCTTTTCTATTTCCCATACAAACGTTTTTTTGACATTACATTTGACAACTATGTAACTAATAAGTCAATCATTCATTCTGTTCGATTGAAACAGGAAAATTTTAATAAATACCAATATCTGGTTGTTTAAGACGGAAATAGAGTTCACCCGGTCAGCTATATGTACATATATTAATAACTAGTAATCCTGGCGAACTCCGTTTCGCTACCAGAAGGCTTTTATATAACATTTCGTTCGGTGATTAAAAGATGAAGAATTTTTTGTTTTATATTTGAAAAGGAAAATTTTTATTTCCTTTCACAACAGTAATGAATTCATTTAGATTACAAAAATGAAGAGTTATTTAGTTGAACTTCTCTAAGTAAATGAAAGTGAATCCAAAGTAGATACCGAATCGAAGCGTTACACGTGTCCGCAAATTATCCGTTTCATTGAAGTGCTCCTTTGTAAACCACATTTTTGTTTTTTGGTCTAACTTTAACACAAATAAAGCGTATGGTTTCCAAACTCGTGAACATACAAAATATAACTGCCCATGTGAAAAACAATGATTTTCTAAATTTATCCCGCAAATACTAAATGGTTTTAAGAGTTCAAACTACAAACACATTACCTAAATGTTTTTATTTTTATCTAGTAGATTTCTTACAAATATCTAATTGTCATCCATACGTCATTATATATCTGTCATTATACGTCAATTGCATAGCTGTCAATTGTGTTATTCGACGTTTTATAGTGACTGACGTTTAATGTCAAGTCCCACGGGAATGCTGTCGAACGGGATAAGAAGTATCCTATTGCAATTTCCTGGTTCTAAACTACCTCCCTGCCAATTTTCAGCTGAATCGGTTCAGCCGTTCTTGGGTTATAAGTGAAGTCACTAACACGACTTTCTTTTATATATATAGATGACGAAATTAACGCGGACGAAGTCGCGGGCAAAAACTAGTATATATATATAATCTTAATATAGTCATATATATCAACTTTGGAGTATTCGCTAAGGAGAATTCATATGAAGTATTCGTGGAATCTCAGTTAATGCCTTACCTTACAATTTTAATTCTCATGCAAATAAAAATTATATATCAATCCGGATACATATAGAGAAATTGGTCTTTTATTTGCAAAAGGTCAAACAAGTCTGATCACTAAATATAAAAAAGAAAGTTAATTAATTTTCTGTCTGTTCTGTATTTCTATAGAACTTTCTCATTTAAGTCAAATTAATTTCTCTTTGTTTCCTCACGATGTTTTCCTTCATCACTCAGTGGTGTCTAAATTGAAAAAGTACATATGACTCGGAAAAATCACATTGGTGCTTGTCAGGATCGAAAACCCACACCCTCATGTTTGAGAGGCGGGCCTTTTAACCACTAGGCCACCACTGACTTATTATTATATAATACTATGTATAAATATTATTATCTTCAACAGGCTACAAGTTATCGAACAAAAAGTTTCATCGCGATGTGTACAACAAGTGGTTCGTGCCGAGGTGGTTATTGTATGACGATCACATAGAGGAATATCTATCAGGAACTGGATATCTGATCAATGGTAACTTACATTCTATCTTTATATAATATATAATTCTTCTGTGAGTGTGTATGTCACTGAACTTCTCTCAAACGATTGCACCGATTTCGATGAAATTTTTTGTGTGTGTTCAAAGGGATCTGCGAATGGTCTAGATTCACAATTTTGTTCGCTGGACAATGATTTTTTAATTAATTTTTAATTTATTAGTAGTTGTTGATACAAACGTTTTTTTGACATTAGATTTGACAACTAACTAATATGTCAATCATTCTGTCGCACTTCAAAACACGGAGATTTATGGCTTACAGGTAAACTCCAAAAATATAAATAAAAAAACGTTACAGATATTTCTTGATTATAAGGCGAACTTACGAAGTTCGCCGGGTCTTCTAGTATATACATATATAAAAAACTTGAGAGGCAGAAATAATTTGAAGCTTGTTCATACATAGAAACTTAATTATATACATTTTTGCTTTACATGCCCATAGTATTAAGTAATGTGATTATTGTATTTGAGTTCTTAGATAAAAGTTTAACAAGTTGTTGATAAATAATTAGTATATCAAATAAAAGTAATATTTTCGGATTTTCATTTTATCTGTCCGTGATCACGGTTGCTGTAAAGTAGCCGAAACGTCGGGAATATGTAATTAAAATAAATAAAAAACGCATAGTAATAAAATAATGGTTTTTATTCAAATGAATATTTACAAAGTCTTAAATATAATTAATTAGCTTCCCGCCCGCAGCTCCGCCCGCGTGGAGTTCGGTTATATCGCGTTTCCAAGAGAATTTTTCAAAAGTCTTGGATAAAAACTAAATCCTATATTCTTTCTTAAGGTCAACTCTGTATCAAATTTCATTAAAATCAGTTCAGTGGTTTAGGCGTGAAAGCGTAACAGACAGACAGACAGAATTACTTTCGCATTTATAATATTAGTAGGGATTAATAACTCAAATAAAAATGTGAACTTATAATAATAAATCAAAACAGGACCATAACTATATGATAAAGAAATTTAATATAAACTTTAAGATAAAAAACAAAGTAAACCATACCTTAATATATTATAATAAAGTATATTTTCCAGGTTACCACTTGAGAGATATATTAGCTACAGCATATAAGACGCCAATGATAAACCTAGAAGACGTTTACTTCACCTACTTGGTGTCAAAACGTAAACTGGGTTTAAATTTAACCCACGACAAACGGTTGAGTCCATTCAAACCTTGGTTACCGAGTGTATGTATGTACTTCAAGTTGGCTTCAACACATAGTTTAACTCCACCGGAAATGATGAAGCACTGGCAGGGCATCCAGGAATTGGGGAACGAGTATGAAAACGGAAATGCCGTATGCGGTGATGACGTCATGAATGAAATTTTCCTGTATTGATGTACATAAGGATATAATTTGCGTTTATTTTGTTAAGACTGATCATATATATAAGTTTAGAAATAAAAATAAGTGAGAATTTAGTTTGAACTATATGTTATAACTAGATTTTGCCTGTGAATGTGGTCAAAATAATTTTATTTACTTACAATTAATATGTATATTTTTGATAATATATACAAGAAATTGTTATAAATTGCAGTTTTATCAAAGAATTCAGATGTTTAAGATAAAGTTAAAATAACTAACTACAAATATAGTATTGGTACAAATTACTTTATACTTAGAAAAAGGAAAAATAAAAAGGTATTTTTATAGTTTTATTTTGGCATAAGTAAATATATATATGTATGTATATATAAGTGGTTATATTTACCACAGATGTAGGTAATTTTGTATTTTAATAAAAGTTTCAAATTTAATTATTTTAATTTTATCCCCAAAACCCTAGTTAGTATTTTTATTTTGATGAAGTAACTTTGTAGTATAGTGTCTGTGGAGTTTGTGAAAGAAAAGTACAAATTGTTTTATTTCATCATGTCTTTCAATTCAAATATATAAATATTAAGAATTTATATATAACAAAGTTTTAGTAGTTTATGAAAACTTCCTACTTATAAAGAAAAATGTGTACAGATAAAAGAACTAATTATACTACCAACTGGAGTTAACAGGTTGAAAAATTTATTTTAAAGTATAAAAAGTAATATTCCTTTATTTGTGTATATATAGGCTATGTGATTTTCTATCACGGGAATACGGAACATACAGTTTTCCTTGTTAAAAGCAGTCCACATCCAAATCTATATCATTCGCCTAAGGATTGCTTTGATATTTTTGATATTGAAATCATGTATCGGTCGGGATCGTGAGAGTTCGAAGAATGAGGACATCTTCACCTTTGAAAGGCCCCGTTAAAATCGTTGCTTCAGCTATGCTGTTTATAATTCTTTTTAACTTCCAGTCGTGTGCCAGAGTTTTGGCTAGTGAATGGCGCACTTAAGAGTATGTTATTATAAAAAATTGTGTTATATATCGTGTTTAGCTTTAATCCCAGCTTTAGGCAGACCCTGTCTAAAGTTGGGAAATTGCCAGATAGAAGAAGAAGTGTTGTATATCGTGTCAAAATTTTAGCTGAATCGGTGCAAAACATTGAGTTTTTGAAACATACATAAACCAACTTAAAAATGTATATACATAGATAACTTAATGGTGTGATAGTTTTTAAAGGAAGCATAATCTTTTATATCTTTTATACTAATGATACAGATATTATTTGCTTGCATCGTGCCAAAATAATTGTACATTGTAACAAAAATAAAGAGGAGCTGTATTGACTAAGGTGTGGTGAGGAAGGGGGAGGAGATATTATTTAAAGAGCATATTTTTTGGATGAGATTATTAATTACTGTGGGAAAACTGGAAATAAACAAGTAATTTACCAATTAGTCGTACTGTTTTAATTGATTTTGAAAGTAATAATATTTTTCGAAAATAAAAATACCTTACGTTGTTTTCCTTTTGTATAAATTGATAAAAAAATTGTGTAAATGACGAGTTTTATAGTATTCTCTTATTAATTAATGCGTTTATTTGTTTTATTTTATAATAAACTTTGTTAATGGAGTTGCGACTCTTAGCTATTAAAAGAAAATCATAGTAACTAGTAGGATTTAGGTATTTTGGTTGCTATTAAAATATATTGAAAAAAACTAAAAAAATCTTAATCTTAGCAAGAAATTATTAATTATTTATTTGTAATAGGAACTGTATACATATGGACATATATTTTATTATATGTTATAAATATTTGAATGCGTAATATACATAGGCACTAAATACTTATTGAGAAATATTATTTACAAAGTATGATAGGGAAAAAAAACACATGTGTATTTTAAACAATATATTAAAATTTGAATCTTTAAATATATGTCGTGTCATTTATACGTTAACATTCTAACACATTAGATAGTAGACAGGACATTGATACCACAAATACATATAATCTACTACATAAAAATAAGTCAAACGAAGTGTTACATAAATCGAAGCCTTCTGGTGGCGAAACGGAGCTCGCCGGGTTTACTAGTAATATTTATAATAAAGAAGGCATATAAAAATCATTGACCGTATTTTCCACAAAAAAAAATGGCTAACGATGGTCCACTCACGATTAGAAATATAAATGGCTTTGATTTTTTATTATTTCGGCCTGTGAATTTTGCAACGTTTCCTGGAGTGTACGCAGTGGCTGTCGTCCCTGTTTCTGAAACCGTCACCGTCACTCTTTGTTCAAAATTCATAATATATAAATCGTTATCTAATGATAGATCCGCATCATCTGGTGAAAAAACATCTATCACTCCCATTGACTTGAACGCTTTGTTTAATATCAGCGATGATGTTAAGGAAAACTTCCTCAATTCGATATCAATTTCCTGCGAGCCGTCTGAATGTAATTCATTATATATTTCTCCCAAATCATTAAGAGCCAGCTCTGTTGTCACATGTTTGAGAGTTACGCCCTCGTGGGGTTGTATTACGAGCATTTTGAAATCACCCACATACGGTAATTCTAGTACAGAAGCATTCAACCGCTCTATATCAGTATAAAAAAATGTACCTCTTTGACGCAAAATATATTGATCGCTAAGAGAGGAATCAAAAGGTTTGGCCCACTCGGCCTTGAATTCTACCAGAGTACTCACGATCATTGAAGTCTCCTTAAAATCACTTGAATCAAAAATAAATGGCTTCGGTATAAGAAATGAATAAGATTGTATGTAGTTATTTGCTGAATGAGACGCCAAAACATTATCATCGAAATTGAGCATTTCTAGTGAAACTCCATGAAGGTCTTGGAAATTTGCAAAATCATTCTTCAACTGCAGTCTAGAATCATAGAAAATAACGCTTTTGGTTCTAAAATATACTCCGGTATTATTTACGTGCATTAAATTGCATACCAAGTCGTAAACTAATAAACAATCAAAAACATCTTTTTCGCTCTTCTCTGATATACACATTGTTTTCTTCAGCTGCTGAGAACTTTTTCCAGATGTCTCCATAGCAACAAGGGAAAGGAGATTCCACAAAGTATAAGGTGCCAGCGCCGCATATTCATTTTGCTGATCCGTATAGTTAAACAAATGCAAACTTAGGCCGCGTACCTTTTTAATGTGTTCATCGAAAAAAGCACTGCAAAAAGGAGGAGAAAATATGTCTATCAAACTGAATAGAAGTAGTAACTTAAGCAAAAATAACGAGCACATTGTCGTCTAACCGAATTCAAGACAATACTGATAATAATTAACATTAGATTTTTTAACTTACGTGATGAATTTTTAACGCGGTTATAGTTCATCGCTATCTAAATTTAATCACTGTATTTTCCCAACATATCAAATCCTTGTTAAGTCAATAACAATATTTTATTATATTAAAGTATACTTGCTTTTTACCAGTAATCGTTTTTTTTTATGGAAAAAGGGGCAACGTGTCTCTTAATCATCGGACCAAACGCAGTCATTAAAGGCTACTTCACGCCGATCTTCTGTGAGAGGGTGGTACTTCCACGGTCGAGCCAGCCCATGTTCGAGCTGTAGTAAATGACAACAGCTAGGCTCTACCACCTAAAACATGCACTGATTGAAATCTTTTGCTTTCAAAGTTTGTGATATAAGTGAAGACAAGTTCCGACGTAAATCTGATCAGAATTTTTTAATTTACATATAAACAAAAAATACTAAATTATTTGAGACAATATTTAAATAAGTAATTAAACATGGAAGATCTAACCTTTTATTTTACAATAACCATGGAAAAAATAAGTTAATTTATAGAATGTTTTGATTGGCACCAAAATTTTAAGCTAGATCAAAACCTCATATTTTGTAAATGATAAATTCCTAAATAGAAAATTTAATAATGGAGTTTAAAATATTGTATGAGCGATATTTTCGGGTAATCTGATCATATTTTCAATATCGTATTAAACTAATGTAGAATAAACATAGTGTTTAAGTTTTAAAAAGAATTTTAAAAAAGTTTTTTAAAGAAATAGGCAAATAAACGTAAAAAATTTAGAGTAGTAATTATCTCTAAATTATTTTAATTCGGTTAGAACTAAAACCGATTACAAAATGGGCCAATAAGTAGGAAAGAATTGGAATTCCACACGTCGCAAGAATTGCAATATCGCCTTTTCCTTAATTCACTCACTCACAACTTTATAAGAATGATGATCTACAAGTAGCAAATGAATTTTTAATTTTATTTTAATTAAATCTTCTTATTGAAAATATATTTAATACTTAAATGGTGGTAATATTTTCAAAGAGATTTTATTCATCTCTTTTAACTCAAATCTTAATTTGTATAGTATATTTTTATAGTACACTAGCTTTTGCCGCGACTCCGTCCGCGTGGAATAGTGACTTACGGCAGATTTTTGGTTCTTCCCACATAGTTCCCGTTCTTGCGGGATTTTCGGAATGGTCGAGTTCCCGTAGAATTTTCAGGATAAAACCTATTTTTTTTATTTCACAATGAAGTACTTACTCTTAACCAACAACAAATTTATTTTTTTATTTGAATAAAGATTAATATTATTATGTTGATACAACTTAAACAAATTATTTCGACCAAATTAGGTACCATAAAAACGGTTTTTGTGAGTTAATCTTAAAAGATAGACATATACTGACGCGGACTGTTTTTTAGATCATTAAAAGAGCTATTATTATTTAATACATATTTTTTGTGTATCTTGAACCGTTTTCACGGTTCACGCAACGGAAGGCTTCAAAGATGAAATAATTTCTCCCGTTTTTTACACATTTACCACTATATCTTTGTTCCTATTGGTCGTAGCGTGATGTTATATAGCCGACAGCCTTCCTCGATAACTGGACTATCCAACACAAAAAGAATATTTCGATTCCAACCAGTAATTTCGGAGATTAGCGCTTTCAAACAAACAAACAAACAAACAAACTCCTCAGCTTTATAATATTAGTATAGATAAGTAATTTTTAAATTGTTTTCTAATTTAAAATGCATTGGTTATAAAATATTACAAATAAATATATGTACTTTGGGCTGTGAATGTCTCCTATTTCAAACGTAGTGTAAGAATTAAACGATTGCAATTTATTTTCAAATATTTCATTGAGAACAATCTAGTCAAAAAAACTACGTCTTTAAAAATTACATTAAAATCCGTGTTTATACATAATATAGCGTTTAACGCGATAGATAGGGCCCCTTAAACCTACACCTGGGTCGCAAGTCCCAGTCACTGTTGAAGCTCCTCTCACTACTACGATGGACCCGACACACGCACCGTGAATACATTGAATGATGAGAGATTTCATCTCTATTCTTAATTATAGTTTCATATATATTATATAATCTTTATTTCAGTGAAATATTTACAGAATATTAATAATTTTATTGAAACCTAGCCGATTTTTTTTATAATTTTAACAAATTTATCTGTTTACAAAACATATAGTTATGTTTTCATCTACAAATTATTTTCTTTTAATATCTTAGTGTATTTGTGGGATTAATGAATTATATAAAAATTTGAGTAATACTACACATTTCTATGTCTTTTTCTCGTGATGTTTTTTTATTCTATAGAAGCAGGTGTGAGTATTTCCGATAAGATTTAATAGTTCATCTTATTGTCGACATTGTGATTACATTCATATAACACAGGGACGTATTTTAAATTTATTATTTTACATATACTTTTAGGTTTCTTTTTCACTTTTATATATATTTCAAAGAATTATTACCATATGATTCATAATTATAAGTAAAAAAATCTTCACAGATTTTAAAAGTTTATTTTTATCTATAAAACGACATTATTTTATTTTGTGTTTATATAAATTAATTAAAACGTAGTATTATTTTATATATTTAGTGCAATATTATTTCAAATCCGTCCCTGTATGAAGTCAAACAAGGCGTCAAATAAAACGATGTAAGTATTTTCGTATAAAACTGAACAGCGAACAATCATTAACTCATTGTCATCACCATGAAGATTCAATTCCTATTCCTGGTGCTCGTATTATTGGCAGTCTTCAAAGATCCTGTACACGCTGGTGAGTTTTAACCAATTAATTGAATTATTAATTAATTAATTAATGTTTGATATTATATATGTAATTTGGTTAGATTATTAAAGATATTATTTTGTATTGTATAAATTTTCGAGATATTTTTATGTTATTAATGTATTTTTGTATGGATAGTTATTTAGATTAATGTATGGAAGGAATTTTTGCTTTGGAGCAGGGATATTTATTGTTTTGTGTACCTTGTATATTTAATTTGAATTCAATGGTATTTGTTTTCTTGTACATATGAAAATGTTAGTTATTAAACAACAGGAAAGATCTCGTGGTTATCAGATAGTACATGGGAATGTAAAATTCTGAACAAATTTCATTCATGGCTTTAGATTTTAATAGATTCAATAATCTTTCTTAAACTCCTATAAGAATTCTAGGGGATATTTATGAATACGGCAATAAGAAAGGGATTGAAATATAATGTTCTAGATTTCTATTACAATCGACTGCCTTACAAGCCTGAAGATATAGCGGCGTTAGGTCTTAAATGTATGCCTGGTAGAACAATCATCAAAGTCGAGGCCCCAAAGATAATAGAAAAGAACACGTCTTCTTCCGAAGAAGAAACTCGCAGGTCTCACATGAACGCGGAAGCTAAGGATGAGTTGTGCCAGATCTGCGTGTGTTCTTTGGAAGGAAAAGACGAATACTGCAGTAAAAGACCAGCCAGGAACGTCAATGAATGCATCAGAATGACCATGCTTAATAAGTATAGAGAAACACACGCGCCGTACTCACACGAAAAGGCTCTATCGTATAGAATACGACGAGGTTTGTTCATGGTGCAGGTAGAAACGGTGCAGTTGATATGAAGTGACCAAGAAAATTTATTAGTATATATAATTTACCATATTCCTTAGATACCTCAATCATACTATTAATACATCGATAGATTCACAAAAAAAACCTATTTTTCTGTTTATATTTTGTACAATAGTGATAGTTTCTTTTCGGATTAGATTACCTGTGGCATCGTGACGAAATCCCATACGAACCAAAGGCTAGTTGCAAGAGAGGAACTTCTTATTACAGTAACAGTGTCACCGCAAATAATACTGACATTGACGTGGCGAGTGACATAGATTCTCTGTTAGACTACTCCAATAAAGAAATCTGCTTCTACTGCGTCTGTTCCACTGACGGTAGACATGCTGGTTGTATAAACAGAGATCCTTGGTTCTGTGAATACTACAGAATAATTAGAGATCCTCATGCACCTAGAGAAAACTATCAACTTCTTTTTAAGCAAGACCGACCAGCGTATTTCAGACAACTCTCATATAGGCTTAGAAGGACCATGGATGAAGGCATCGATGCCTTTTTTGATTATGGTAGGATATAAATGGTTTGTTTGTGTGGCTAAACACTTAGCACTGGCGTTTTTTTAATAATTTTTATTAGGTAATATAAGTGTTAGTGAATCTGCAACCAATCTTTAGTTCTGACCTAAATTTTGTATTCGATGGTTGTGTTTCAATTTATAAACTTAAAGATTGGTTGCAGGTGGTGATACTTTGTGCTGCAACCACCCAGATGGTCACCGACGCAACCTGCATGAGAAAGTGAGGACCAAGATCAGGCTTATGAGGAGGAAGGTGCCTAAGGAAAACATGATGGGGGGAAATCCCCAAGGAGATTACGTGGATTTTATAGTTAATAATGATTAGATTAGATGACTATACACACTCATCTCAAACTTCTAGATGATGCAACTACTATAGTATAACTACAACTACAACTCTACGATCATAAATATTTTAATTCCTTTGAAATGTGGTGCAAAATATCTGTTACAAGTGATGTGAAGCCTGTGTTTTTTGTATTTTTATAATGTTTGTGATTATATAAAAGTGAATAAATCCGTGTTTTGAAATATATGACTTTTCATTAATTTATTTTTATTGCACGTTTGTTGTTTTTGTTTTTATTGGCACTTTGTATCAACTGCACTGATTATCCGCACTTTTTATTATTATTTTTGAGTGGCTTTAACATATTTTTTTGCTTTTTTTGAAATTGCTTTTGCCAAAAAAGTCAATATCACAAAATACTTATTATTTCAGTGGGAGATGATAATGATACTTCATGCATACCATTCGTATCTGAATATTCCGATTGCAGTGAAGGTAAGATATACAACTAGAAAATAATATTAAAACCATTATTTTTTAATGACATTCCATAGTTTTTAGTTTTCTTTGAAATACGTAAAAATTTCAGTGTATATTAGTGAAATTAATAAATATTTTAGCAAATAGATGTACTGGTTGTGAGAAATGTTCTTGTAATGCTGAAGGGGAGTGGTATTGTGAGACAGTATTAGAGTGTCCAACCCAAGAAGATGCTTTGGCTGATGTTGGCGCCTCCAATGCTCTGGATATGTTTTACAATCGTGAGTTTTGTTAACTCTATGGAATAGAAATATACTTTAATACACTCTATATATATAAATAACATTACATATAAATACAGAAAATTGAAGGCAAGGGCGGCCTTATCACTAAAAGCGATTTCTTACAGCAACCCAACAGATGAGGATAACAAATTTTGTAGAGAGGGTAGTGCATATAATATACAAAAACTTAAAATACATATACATACCAGAGGATGCATACACACAAATAAATATACATATATACATACACACATACATACATTAAAAAAAATCTATTTTTGTTCCCATTTGGAGTTCTTTTAGCATTCTTAAGTTAATCCTTTCCTTTATTTATATGTTCAAAGAGCTTATGTTTTTTCAGAACTAGGTGAAATGCCGAAGCCCAAATATGTAGTTCCACCTCCACCAAAACCGGAGGAAGAATTAGTTGGTTTGTGATAGTAATTTTTGATCTATTTCTATTTTCCATATTTCTCAATATTATATTAATGTATATTTTCAGGATATATTATCGCTGTTCCTTGAAGAAGTATCTTATGCACTTTATTATTAAACGTTGCACCTGATCGCACTCTTTTATTATTGTTCACAATCTATGCCTTTTTTTCTATGGTAAGTATATCATTAAACAATTTCTTTGGATTAATTCAATTTTTAATAAAGTTTCAGAACATGTTAAACGTCAGTTTGAAGATTTTAAAACGTTTATGTCGCGCCAAAAAAGATCTGTCGATAACAAATTCGTACACGATACGGATTCTTCTAATCATACTATTAAATTCTACCACACCGTTGATGAAATAAACGAAGGTTTGTAAAATAAATATAATTCCGGTGAAAAGTTAGAAAATTGTACTAAATTAGCATCATTTACAGATACGTTAAAAGATTTGAACGATACAGGAACAATACAAGCACACAAAGTAGAAGTTAACAAAGTTCCAAAGATATCTCGACGAACAAGCATGTACGATAACTTTAATAGTTCAGATTTAAACGCATTGCACATAGAATACAATCAACCTCAAGACTACGATCATCATATCACGGAAAACAAAATAGAAACGCATAGCGGCGATAAAGTTACATACAACGAAGACAGATTGAAAAAGATTTTGGGGAATCAATCTAGGAGTGACAGAGACAAAGTGTTATCAAAAATAGTCGTGAATGAATTGAAAAAGGGAAGCGAAACGATTGGTGATAAAAATGTACCACCGATGTCTAATATAACATTCACGCCTGAAAACGATACATTAACAGCAATGACTTACATCGCTGGAAACTTACTTAATAAACTGTGGAACATGGAAATGGAATCAACGGACGTCTCTATGGAAACAGAAGCATTGAAACATGAGAAAATAAACGATCTCTTAGAATTATTCAAAGAACCTTTAAGTATGAGACAAGAGAATTTCATTAAGAGTGCTCTTGAAAAATTATCTGACACTTTGACCAAAAACAAACACGTAAAGAACGTTTCGCTCTGTGAAACTATCACAGAGCAATCCAGTCAAGAAGAAATTATTAAAAGCGAAACGAATACAACGAATTGCACTACAGAAAAATCTACAAATGTTAAAGGTAAACGGAAAACTGATGCTCCCAGTCCTACAACAGAAGCTATATCAAAGTTAAATCATGTGATTGATCTGATAAAGAAGTTTGAAAATGTTCAAAATATGTTAAACGGCTTACAAAGTCAGAACAAAGAAAATAAACCACCTAAAAAGGTCACAGAAACAAACATTAACACCAAAAACGATTCCTCCCTCCAGCTATTCAGCAATTTATTAGATAAGATCACAAAACTCTTAGTTCCAAACAAGAACAGTAAAAAAATATTAGGGAAACTAAAAGAATTGAATCAATTCAAAAACAACAAGAGCGTTAAATCTCTTGTTGGTGATAAATACAAAATTGATATAAGCGACAAGGATGTAACAGCGAAGGACAAAGTGATTTTAGATTATTTAGAGCATATAGAGAATAATCCGAACTGCCTGCTTAAAAAGAATTTACATAAAATTGATGTGAAACCAACTATGAATGTTGAAGGGAACATACTTTATAATCTATCTGAATTCCTTAAAGTTAAATCATTTATAGATCTAGTCAAACTAATAAAACCCGAGATATTATCAAAACCAGAACCCCAGCAGAAATTAGAAACGACTACAATACTACCAGAAACGATTACGAAAATAATAGAAAATGTTCCCATGGATAAAATACAAAGAAGCTTAAATGCTACAAAGGACAAATTGAAAAATCATTTAAAGGATTTAATGAGTGATTTAATAGAATTACAAAATGTCCGTGGCATGAACAAAGAACAGGCGAAAATCAAAATATCGGATATACTACCTTGTATCTATAATATGATGAATGGCGATACGATTTTCAACAACGACAAGGCTAATACGCAATCAGCGTTAAGTAAAATTAAAAATGTCGTAGACTCCATCAAAATGGAACTGAATTCGGATATTTCGTTACCTACAAGAAGAAATAATATAATTACGGAGACACCACAATCAGCGATAGTGTGGCAAAGAGTTATTAAGAATGTAGGTGCGCTGCAACGAAAGTCGCGACGAAATTTAGGGCAGAACACAGAAAAATCGTATGAGGAATTGAAAAATATCATGGAACAGGTGGAATTAGTCGGAAACTCGTATAAAAACTTCGCCATGCTAACTATGGTTCCGCCTCAGAAGCAATTGATGTTGCTAAAAACTCTAGAAGCAGATACTAAGTTAGAGAAAAATGCACTCGAAGCTATTATGAATTCAATGCAAACTATTAACAGCTTACCGCTTGATAAGCGTACAGAAATAAACGAATTCATAGATAACGCTGACAACAATATCAATTTGAGCGTTAAAGTTCTAAAAAATATTGATAAATCAAAACAAAAGTACAACGAAAATCCACTGGTTGAGGTATTTAACGTCGATCAAAATAAGAGACCAAATAATGAACAGGAAACCCAAAACATGTCTGAAATGATAGCGCGTTATAAGAATAATATAAAACTTACCAGAGATCAGATAATTAAACAACTTATTATAAAAAGGGTTGAATATTACTTGAAGTCTCGTGAAGCTATTGGCTCAAACTTAAACGACGATGTCAATTACAACATCGGGAAAAGAATACTTATATTGATGAAAACTGGCAACTATAATATCGCTAAGGAACTCTTTAAAGTATTTGTGGCTAATAAACGGAAGGACGAAAACCTTCGCAGCCAAAATGGAGGTATGAAAAAAGATAATACATATTTTGGATTAAAAAATAAGTAATAATGAATAATTAACATTTTTAGGAGCAACAATAATGAATGAGCAGAGAACAAAAGGTAGGTTGCTATTGGCGCTGAAGGATCCTTTGATACGATTCGACGATCAAGTGACGAAGACGCACGACCAGGATCAATTGGTGAAGCAATTGATGAAATTTAAAAATTTAAGTTAATCTAATCAAAATTTTTTGTACATTTATATGAGTAATAAAAGCATTGAAAAATATTTTAGTGTTGTTATTCAGATTTGTAACTAATATGGGATTACATGATCGCTATTGTTTCCTATTTTCCAATTATTTATTTTCATTTGTGAGACTTTGAGAAAAGTCACATAATACATAATAGAGTTGCTAGAGATACAAATATTTTGTGCTATCTAGTGTATTTTAGGGATTCCATAAAAAGATTTTTTTTTATTTCGTTTAGGTATTTTTAAGTGAACACGTTAAGAAGACACAAAACAATATAAATCAACAATTAATTTCTTAGTCTAGCCTCAAGACATTCATTGACTTCTTGTTGTTTAAGAGCGCCATCTGCTGTTGTGTCGTTAAAGCAATAAGTAAAAGTAAATAGCAAAAAGTATTACTATTCGCCAATAGATGTCAGTAAGAGTCATATTTTAAACGCCTGTTTGTTATTTTTTTCATAAAATGACATTTTCTAAAAATTAGTCCTAGCTAGATCGATTTATCGCTCCCAAACTCCCCCCCCCATATACTAAATTTCATGTAAAAGGCGGTGCATATAAAATAGAAAAAGCAATTTCGTTTATATGAACGATTAATTTGACGATGTAGAGAATCCTAGCTAAAGTCTAGAAACTTCTCAAAAACCAGACAGTCACTATAAAATATTTACGAGTAGATGTTAGTTGTGTTCGGGGTGCTGTAATTTTGTGCTCAAATATAATAATTATCAATGTTTAAGAGGAGTATATTATTATGAAAATTGGTGTTTTGTTTTAAAACATATTCTGCTTACCTTATCCCAAATCTCTTTGCATGTATCTCTGTACACGAGATGTCGATCTGTCGGCCCTTTCGTGTAACCATTCAACAGATATTACATTGTAGTAGGTATTAGTGATATTTTAACAATTTTAAACCAATTAACTCTTAGGGGATTATTTTCATACAGAATTTAATGAAATAAATTGCATTTTTTTCACCTATTCAAGTTAATTGTATTTGAGAAATATATTAATATGAAACAATAGTTCATTTAATGTCATTTATTGTTAAAGCACAAGAAACTGTTTTTATTTTTTAATCATTGTTATATATTTTTTAAATAAATAAAGTTTATAAGAAAGAAAAGAAAAAAGCAGTATATATTGTGTTACTCAGTTAGGTAATTTGTATTTTATTATGAAGTTTTGTTAAGATATTTATTTTGATTGCGTTTTGGTTTTGTCACTTTTTGTTTCGCAGAATTAGTCCTCTTAGATAGATTTTTCCTCTTGTTACCTAAAATTTTAAAAAGACGGAATTTCCGAATTTAACTGAAAGACTTGATGGTGAGATAAACTTATTATTAGGAACTTATAGCGGTTTTGGAATAGTCTATAAATATGCGATTGCAAAAACCTCTGAAATTTGATTGTGTAAAAATAACAGATACACATTTATTGAGATATAAAATTATTTTTAAGCGGGTCAGAGATGTAATTTAAAGTTATCATAATAACTTATATAATTATTATATTTACGTTTCAGACTCGTAGTTCTTCTGGTCGTAGAAGTATTAATCCTTTTCAATTTAGAACCTGGAAATAATATTTGATTATCTTATTTATGTACTTATACCGCCTCGACATGTCAATTTTATTCATAATAAATTGAGTACTTGAAAAAGGATTTTGAAAGAAATAATATTCTTAATAGTTTTTAGCCTATTGTCTACAGTTCTTATGTAGCAAGCCAAATATTCCTTTTACAATGGTCTCATTAAAATTTCAACTAAATTTGATCTCAGAAAGAATTTTCGGGATGTAACTCAATTTAACTAAATCTTTTCTGACACTAACAATAAGCTTTTTTTTATATTATTCTTAGTTTCTGAAATATATATCCTTTAGTTGCTAAAAAAATACATTAAAACCAATATACATATTAGAGTTTACTAGCTATGGTAACTGCGTATTATTTCGCAGCCTTTTTTTTTGTTTATATGTCAAAATATAACGAAAGAAGTGTTATTAGTATAAAAATAAATGATGTTGAAGTATAATACCTCATTTATACATATTATCAATATAAATTATAAAGATATCAAAGTTATAATAATTGTTACAATTACCTTGTTTTTTACTTTGTTTAATCTTATCAGTTTGATTCAAATTTTTCTGCTTTTTTTTGGGATATGATCGTTGTCCTGTAAAAAAATTTTTTACGCTATTAAAAAAGTTTCCGAACCATCCAGCCTTTCTTTTATATCTGGAGGCGATATTTAAATTTTTTTGCCATTTTCTCATTGTTTCTTCGTATTCAGAGATTTTGTTTTTTCTTATTTCATCCATTTTTTTCTTAGCTATGTGTTTAACTATCTCGTTTTTTGGAACTTTTCTTCTCAGAAGTCTATTGATCTCTTTCTTTGAGTTTCTTAATAGTGTCTTGATGGTTAGTAAAAATGATTTCTTTTTCTTCAAACTTCTTTCAGTCGATGTATCAATGCCTTTTTTTAGTATCTGCAGTTGTATAATACGACCTAATCTGTGACTTGATCTTCTGAGATCGCTTGATATTCTTCCTATCAGTTTTTCCCCTGCAACATCATCTATCGTTGTCATTCTTCTGTTTTGTGCAAATTGAAACATTGCTAGTACATCTGTTAGCTTCTTAATGTCCTGTGATAGAACAAGATGGAACAATTTCATTACATAAAGACGTTCTGGTAGTGGACTATTTGCAATATCTGCTGTCATCTTATCATATGTTTCGCCTACTTTATTCAGAGCATGGGATGTATTTTCAGTAAGGTCAATAGTTGAAATTGTAAATTTTAAGTCATTTGTGTAAAATCTATTTACTAGTCGCAATATTATTTTTTTGGCCACTGGACTCAATTGATATAGTGCATTTGAGATTAGTATACTATCATCTAACGTTTCAAATATTTTAATTATCTCATCGATAGGACAAAACATTTTTTCCACAGCATTATTCATATCAAATGTTTTTCTTAAATTAATAGAGTTTGATGAACTTTTTTTCTTTTTAATTTTATCTTTTTTCTCCTTAGTAACATAGTTTTTCATAGCTCTTATTAATACTTTTAATTCGTAAGGCATTGAGGAGTAATTCGTCAATCTTTGGATTCCAACAACGTCACTGATGACCTCGTGTATATCTCTCTTTAATTTTGCTAAATATTTACTGAGCATATTTGGATCTCGCCTTCTCAAATCCTCCGAATAATTTGATATCAAATCCATATCAATAAAATATAAATGTGAATTATCTTTTGTAAAATTTGTATAATGATCAGTAAAATTAATGCCAGTTATTGTTTTTATGTATGCAATAAATTTCTTTTTTATATCAAGTAATTTGTCGAGCTCGTACTGTTTTTGCTCCACAAATCTATCCAAAGGATATAATACATCGTGTATTTCCATGACAGATTTTTCAGTTTCGTTTGCACTTGTAGTAGAGTTGTCATATATTGATTCCTTATCTTCTCTTTTTTGTATACGACGAGGTTTATGTATATCTCTTTTGTAGTTGAAATTTTCATTAACATCTGAATCAATGTATGAAAAAACTGAAAAATAAGAAACAGAATTTAATTCATCTCAACCTAAATGTCTAAGATATTTGATATATTTACCATCGTTAACTATTCGGTCTGTCTGAGTGTTATTTTCTTCTTCATAGTTCAGTATTATAGTGTCAGCTAGAATTGATTTTTTTATATCATTGAACACATTCGGCGAGGCAAGTTTATGAAACATTGTGTGACCTGAATGTCGGCTGTCTTCCAATGAAATGTGTTTTTCATCGTTGTCTAAATTAATATTATTTAATAAATCTTGGAAGACTAAAGGCTCGGAGTTAAGATTTGAGATATTCGCTTCATCTTTCTTAATACTGGCATCTGTGAAGTTAATGCGAAGTATATTAGTTTTAATCTTAAATATTTAATGACACTTTGTCAGTGGCGGCCTAGTGGTTAAAATGCCCGCCTCTTTTGCATGAGGGTGCGGGTTCGATATTGGCAAGTACCAATGTGATTTTTCCGACTCATATGTACTTTCTAAGAGTATTTAGATATCACTGATATTAATGTATTCCCAAAAGAGGGTTGAAGTCAGGCAGGGGCCGGTTCGAAAAACAATTAGACAAAACTATTCACAACATGTAAGGCAGACCCTGGCTAAATCTGGAAAATTGCCAGGAAGAAGAAGATTTAATAACACTTTGTTAAATACAAAATTCACCAACAAAATGTTGATATAATAGTCATATTAAATTTGTATAACAACAAAATATGAAGTTATTTTTACCTGTTTTATTTACTGAGATTTCTTTACTGTTTATTTTATCAGTTGTATCGTTTAAAGAATCTTTATTTATATTATATTCTTTAGTATCGTACATCCATTTCAATACTTCTTCGTCGCTCATAACTTCTTTCTTCTTACCTTGTATCGATCTCTTGATCCTTTTGTTTAAAATTGTTTTTTTATCTGCAATTGATACAACATTTATATGTCGTGTGGAACTTTGTAAATAGTTTATGTGAAGTTTTTATTTTTTAAGGAAAAGTATCTTCATTTACAGTAATAAAAATAAACATTGCAGTTTGATTGAAATCGAAGTTTGCATAGTAAATGTGTTTCAAGGATTTATGGAAAAGAAAAAGTATGTTATCGTAGCAAATATTGTGAATCGGGTTTAAATTGGAATATTGAGTTAAGGTTGTTAACAAAAATAAAGTATCCTAATGTTTATAGAATTTTTGAATAAATTATCATCGTAAAACTGACACACAATATTTTTAAAGTCTGAGGTAAGTGTTCTTTATGAGGGTTTATGATTGGAAAAAGGTTCTTTGAAGAATTTGGACGTAAAAATTCAACTAAACTCAATGTTAAAGCGCCTTATCACAATTTGGGTTTTAAAATGTAACTAAACTTAATGCTACAAATGTTAACTGAGCAATATAATGAGTTTGAAGGGAAGATTATAATAATTTAATACATTTACAGAAATACTATGAACCCTATAAATCAGTAGTTGAAATTATAGCCATTAAATATATATACAGTGAGAAGAGTTTTTTTTCATAAAAGACCTAGTAATCTGAGTACTTTAATTTATATGTAATATTATTTCCCAATGTTATATTTATTGGATATTGTATGTCTACTTACATTCCTTAAGATTCTCCATCGTTACTACCAGTGTGTGATGATCCAGGGGCAGTTCATCATCAGGGTCACAGCGTTGTATGAATGTGCAGTTCCAAAGACCATCAACACCACATTTACAGGTTTCACAACCAAGGCATATATTATCTGTGAAATATGTTTAACTTAATTGAATTTCGTCTTACTGGCCTAGAGATTAAAGGTCCGCCTCTCATGCATGAGGCACTGGTTCGAAACCTGGCAAGTACCAATGTGATTTTTCCGAGTCATATGTACTTTCTACGAGTGTTTAGACTTAAGATTAATGCTCAAACCTTTTCCATATGAGAAGAGGTCTTTGCTTAACAGTGGGCTTCGATAAATTGATGATGATGATGATGATGAATTGAACTAAGGGCTTAGTTTAGTTTAAACTATATTAATTGAAATCTTAATATTATATTAAATATTCATTAATAAGATATTTATGTATATTAAAATATACAATCGTGATTTCAAGGAAGGTTTATTTGTTTATGACTGTGTATTTGTCTGAAAAGTCTTAATCTTTTAAGAATATTTACTATTATGAAGTATATAAATCTGTATAATAAAATATTTATACATTTTAATAATAATATTAATTATTTATTTCTTTATTCGTATTTATTTAACATTTTTAAATTTAAAACAGACTGGTTTAACCTTCTTTAAAATAAATTATTGATGAAAATTTATAAATTAATAATATCCGGTATCTAGGAATTATTAGTATTAATTAATTTCTTAGTCTAAATTAAGAACAAACACTCAATGACTTCCTGTTACTCAACAACGCCATCTGTTGTTGAGTCGTTAAAGCAAATAGTAAAAAGTAGTATTACTATTCGCCAATAGATGTCAGGAAGTGTCATATTTTAAATTGGGACTACTCGAACGCCTCCTTTGTTTTTTTTTTTCACAAAAATGACATTTTATCCCTAACCTAAACCCCCTATATACTTAATTTCCATTCCGAGATTACAGTTATATATATTTATATACAAGAATTGCTCATTTAAAGATATAAGATAATGGATTGATTGGAGTTTTCTTAAAGTTAATTAGTTTAATACTATACTCACCTCTGTTACACGTCGTGTGTTCCGATATTAGTGGAATACAATCTTTATATTTTATATCATTGGACACTGAAACAATGCGATTTTTCTATTACATCTTGTCATTTCTTATCTAAATTTCTAAATTAATCTATCAGTCATTAAATCTATTAAAATTTTGTCACAGTTTAGTCGTCAAAGACTACTATGACAGATATTTGATATTTATCGAAACTAAGTTGAAAAAACAAAGTTATTTAATTTTGATTTTCTATCCATATACATATAAAGGGACCTTCTCTCCTAAAAAGAATTTATATCCTTCTGTAATTTCTGTATCATCTGTATGTTATTCATAATAAACCATTAAAAAATGGCAATAAAGTTACAAATATAATTAATATTTAAGCAGTTTTTGTTTTAAATTGCGGTTTTACCAAATAGAATTTTCAACATCTTCAAGCTGTAGAAAAGGTATTAATATTAATAATGGTTTAAGTAGAATGTAACAACATTTCTCCTAAGGACTACATATATATTTGTCCTATTATTTCATATCCTAAACCAATACATGGAAACAAATTAATTACAAAGTAAATTCTTCAAATAATTACCCTTCTCCATATAGTCAAAGATCATGTCATCAATTCCGTTATTTATGTCATCGTGAGTCTCTCTGTCTGTGTTGTTCTCAAGTATCTCCTTGACTAGGTTGTAGTAACCACACCTGGCTTCGTCCGTCATAAAACACCTTTCATCACAAATCTCACACTCAGCCTGGCCGAAGGTTTCAGTGTACCAAATATTTTGAGGAAGAGCTGTGAAATAAAAAAAATTAAATATAAATGATGTGATACGTCGCTCTTGTTCTCCTTTATTCTTCTATCTGGCAATTTTCCAGCTTTAGCCAGGATCTACCTTACATGTTGTAAATAGTTTTGGCTAATCGTTTTACGACCGGCCGCCTGCCTGACATCAACCCTCACGATAACTCGCTCTTGTTACTACTAATTAAATGTCAGATTTGTATATAAAATTTTGTTATACATTTATAAATTTATTATTATCTCATTAAATTCAGGGTACGTTCAAAATGAGGAAGTATTACAACATTTTTAAGTATGAAATTCTATCGATAGTAATTTAATAAAACCGTATAATTTATGTATAATAGTTTAATTTTATCTCTAATCTGTAATAAATGTTGAACTATTCTGTAACGACTTAAACATATACAAAAAAATATTAAAAAACAGTAATCTTTTCAACTTTATATGATTGACAGATGACTTTTTTCGTTTACCTAATAAAATAATGATTTCAAAGTTTGATGTCATGAATGCTTTTTATTTTTTGAATATACATATGCAGTTCTAACGAAGAGAAAATGTTTTCTTAATACAAAAAGTTTTAAAATGAATTTTTGCTAAACAAAGTAACTGAGAGTATTATCGCATTACGTGATGGTGTTTTCATTTTACTGAAAGAATAGAAATTGTATTTCAGGAAAAAAAAAGCGGCATTCTTGTTTCTATTGTAATTAGACATCGACAAATAATTATATAAGTAAAAATAAAATGGGCTGTAGTTTATATATATGTGCAGGATTCCTGGTGAAATAGTGGTAAAAGGCCCGCCTCTCGTGCATGACGGCGCGGGTTCGTAACCTGGCAAGTATCAATGTATATATCCTCTTCTACCTGGCAATTTCCCAGCTTTAGCCAGGGTCTGCCTTACATGTTGTGAATAGTTTTGGCTTATTGTTTTTACGACCGGCCGCCTGCCATACATCAACCCTCTTTGGGAATGCATTAATCAGTGATGTCTAAATACTCTTAGAAAGTCATATATACATATACATATACAGGGTGACTGGTGAATTACTATCAGTACTTGAGGACGTGATATTTGACAATCATATATGACAAAATAAAAATTAATATAAATCATGTACCGAGTATTCTCCTTAAATATTGATAGTAATTCACCAGTCACCCTGTATATAATGGGCTGTGCGTATTTATGATCTAGCAGCTATCACAATTGTTTAGATGTTTTAAATGACAATAGAGGATGTAAATCCAATACTCACCAGAGATGCCACAGATGCCTACGAGCAGGATAGCTAACATCATGAGAACAATGCCAGTGATTTCGTAATTTGAGATTGAAAACTCAAATATGTGTTAAGGGATGGATTCAGAGTTAAAAATCAATATTACATACATATAATTATGATAAAACTATTCTTATTATTATAATAATTCATTGGTTTTCTATTAAATATATTGCTTGAAAGGGTAGAATGAAAATTGTTGTAATTGTCACTAGTATTTTTGGACGTAATTGATGCTCCTTTTTTTGGATAGTTTAATAATAATTAAATGTAAAAATTATTATTTTTTTAATTTAAATATGTCGTATTTGTGTCGCTTTTTCTCTGAATCCATCTCTGTTTATAAAAACGTGTAAATTTTAAATGTTTACAAACAAGAGTTATATTGTCGCGGTCGGCTGGTTGATTGGGGACGTCAGTAAGTGAGTATGCTCGCGTTACTTCTCTTGGTTCATAATGCTGCTGGTAAAGGTACTTATCTTATATTGTTTATTGAAATCTAATTATGATGATCGTTTCATCATTATTTCGTTGTAAAACTCAGCTTATATTTCAATAAATTAGACAATTAGTTGATTGTACAAATATTTTTTGATAACTTATCTGACGAGCCTAAACTGATTTTGTACAAAAAACATACGAAAATTTTTTATAAATACTTTTTTGTTATTATTTGTATCAAGTATTCCTATTTTTTACTTAACTTTCATTACAATTCTTTAACGTGTTTGTGTTTCATTTCATACAACTAGATGCTTTCCAAAATCTATTCTTATGTGAAATTAACTTTAATATTATTTTTTGATAATAATTATTTTGTTTTAGACACGCAAAAAGATGTTCCAACAATCCAGCCCATAGTATCTTGTCCTGACGTCGGTTATTATTTCAAACGAGATGTAAACCCTAATTCCATAAGCCCAGGACCATGCAACTTATGTTTCTGCCAAGATAATGCTACAGCAGTCTGTTGGCCAAGAGATAGCTCAAGATGTGATCCTAAGCATTATTCTTATTATGGTAAAAGAAAAAGGTATGCAGAAAACATTTTCTTAATTATAATACGTCTTCTTCTACTTTTCATTTTCCCAGCTTTAGCCAGGGCCTGCCTTACATGTTAAAAATAGTTTTGCCTAATTGTTTTTACGACCGGCCGCCTGCCTGACATCAATCCTCTTTGGGAATGCATTAATCAGTGATGTCTAAATACTCTTAGAAAGTACATATGACTCGGAAAAATCACATTGGTACTTGCCAGGATCGAACCCGCGCTCTAGTGCATGAGAGGCGGGCCTTTCAACTACTAGGCCACCACTGAATTAATTCTTAATTATAATATGTATTATATTATAATAGAACACAAATTGAATTGTATTTTTTGTTCAGAGAGAATAGAGAGAAGAGGAGTCCAGCTTTCACCGATATCTTCTTTCGTGATGCAGCTAGAGAAGGTATATTAAGTTTTCATTCATTCTATCATTTTAATTTTATAAATATTTTATGTATCTAATATTTTTATATTAACAGTTTTTCACAGACAAACTCCAGAACAATGTAAGCCATATGAGTCCAGTTTCAGTGAAGGATGTCCACCTGGTAATTAATATTATAGTTTTTTATGTAATATTTGTAATATTTCTCAGTCATCAATAAAGAATAAGATCTAAGACTTTCGCTAGTATTCATTTAAATGAAACGAATATTATTCCGATTAATACGCGTATTTGATTATTTTAACTACATACTCCAAACGTTTCGGTTACTTTTCAGCAACCGTGATCACGGACAGACGAGATGTGACGAGATCACGGTTGCTGCAAAGGAATAAAAGTATTTTATATACTTTATATACGCGTAGTAATCCGAATAATATTAGTTTAATTTAAATAAATCAAGAAATCAGTTTATTCGTTAGTTTTTGGCTCTAATATTTAATGTTATGGTATTTTTTTTCAGCTGATTGGTGTATCGGATGCACGGTATGTGACTGTGATGCTAACGGACGATGGGACTGCCATACACTGAGTTTCTGTCCAGATAGTAAGTTGTAAAGTTTAAAATAAGAAATAATGAGTTTGGCTTAAATTTAATCAAAAACTATGTTCCAGAGAAAGGCAAACAAGTGGTAAAGAAAAAAAGGAATTCGCAGAGAAGTAGACGACAGTTAGCGAAGGGAAAACATACTGTTAAAACAACAAAAAAACCTGCTAAAACCTTAACAAAAAAACCTAGTAAAACAATAAAGAAATCAAACAAAAATGTCGTCAAACAAAACAAAGTTAAAATAAATACAAAGCAACAAGTTAAAAACTCGAAAAACAATCATCATAAAAACAATGCTAATAAGAAAGGTAGTGCTAAGAGAGCATCTCCTGTGAAGAAAACAAAGAAACCGTTTCAAAACAAAAAAGTCCCACCCAAAAAGAAAATCCCAAACAAAAAGATTCAACAAAGTAAAAAGTCTATGAGTACCAAAACTAAACCAGTTCCAGTAAACAAAAGGAACACTTTCGATCCAAGCGAGACAGTTAAATACACAAAAATGATTTTAAATAGGGTGATGGATTCCGTAAACAAAGTTGTGAATGAAACTCAAAAGTCCTTTCAAAAAGACAAGTCACTGAAGAAAAGTCCATCCTCTAAGCACACTAATAATGTATATGATAAAAATAAACATAATAATGGTAAAAAAATAAGCAAATGGCATCAAGTGAAAAATATGCCACCGAGTAGAAAAGAAAAGAGGTCAAGACGTAAACGACAAGTGATTACTGAAAATAAAATCCAAAAAGGTAAGATATAGCTATTATTATCATATTAGCATTTATAACATAGTCCTTTTTATATCATATTTTATTTTTCAGATATTCCATCTACTAATTCTCCAGTAATAGATGAAATATTTATATCTCCCTCCCGATATAGTAATCAAACATTATCTATAGCGCCAATATTAAATGAAACATCTAAAATTAAATATTTTGAATATAACATTGATTCCAAACATGATGAGACTACTGAAGAAAAAAATAAATTAGGGGAAATTACAATGATGAGCAAAGGATTGGATATTAATGTTACTCACGGAAAAAAGACGAGCGTCGTACCTGACATAAAGGAAACCACTTCATCCATTAAAAAATCGACTTGTATGAAATGGAATAATATAACTCTCAATGTAATGAATAATAATGAAAATAAAAATTGTAGTAAATTATGTGAGTTACGGAGAGCTTTCAAAACTTTTCTTCTAAACATGGGAAGAAGAAATATGACTAAAACTAAAGATAATAAAAAAAATATTGATGTTATGACATACTTCAGAAATTTTTTCAATAGATTATTGCGAATCAGTAAAACAAAAAAATCGTCGCTAACCAAAAAACGTCCGAACCGTAAACACAATATAATAAAAAGTTTATGTAAGAATTTAAAATCTTGTAAATACAACCCGATGGATAAGAATTTACATTCAAAGATTGAGCAGCTTAGACTGGAAAGTAAAAACATATTAAAATCAGTAAAAATAATAAAGGGTTTATTGAAACTTATAGAAAATGAAGGAAAGGATAATATGAAAAATTCTGATGTTAAGAAAAATATCGAGAATAAAGATATCGTGATATTAAACGCAATTCTTAAGAATAAATACGATATCGTGGCTAATTATATAAATTTAACTGAGACGCAGTTAACTCAAATCAAATATATCAGAGACAATACCAGAGTATTCATACAATCAATAGAAAAATTTGCACATACATTGAATGATATAATCAGTATATTGACAAATGAAAATAAAGAAAATATACAAAAAAGAAAATTAAGGTGCACCAAAAAAAATGATTTGATTATAAATAAAGATAATGGAGTCGAAGATAAGATAAAAAATCTTAAAAAGATGCTAATAAATTATAATCTAGCACAGAACAGATTCATGAAAGGCATGTTTGATGTGCTTAACACATTAGAACAGAAAACAAAACCAAAAAACAGTTACAAGGTGAGTGAAAACATAACAAAATATAATGACAGTCTCGCTATAGATACTTATGCAAAAAACGTAATTAAAAATCTCAGGAAATTAAAAGATTTAGCCGAAAAACTGAGTTTTAAAAATCGACAGAAAAGGATGATCATAAACGATGACGACGCTATAGATTATTTTTTAATGTTAATCGAATATTTATTAAAGCAGAATCGTCCACTAGATAATTCACCAGGTAAAAAGAAGCAAAATAAACTTAATTAAATAATATTTTTTGTACTAATTATGTGTTTTTTGTTGTAGTAAGCGACGGAATAGACATTCTTATAGAAGCTATTAAAAGTGCTCCCGATATAAAATCTTTTAACAAGATAGTCTTTGATAATAAAATTGTTCAAACAAACCAAAATATTATATCAACTACAGAAACCCGTTTAGCGGTTCACCACAGTTCACCTTTCTATAACGTTAATAAAAATATAGAAAAAGTTCATTTTCACCAAGTCAACGACAGCGTAAAAGAGTTCGATTCAATTGATGCGGACGAAGGTTATGGAGATATATACGATTATAATAAAACATATCCACAAAAAGAACTCAAAGTAAATAGATTTTTCGATATTGAAGTTACTGAAAAAATTATAGACACAACAATGGGACCGAAAGTATACGTTGCTGATAATGACGACGAAAAAATCAATATTATATTAGACAGATATGAAAGTGATAAAAGTGATGATAAAAGAGGTTTCGAAGTTTTCACAGATGATACGGATGAAGAAGGTCCAATAATATCTAGTAGTCGAACTCCAGAAGTAGAAACAGAATTGGACATAGAAGCAGTGACCCAAAGAACTCCAAAGCGTACAACGATACCGCCACAAGTGATAGAAATAAATGAAAAGCATTCCATACACGATTCAAAATCGGATAAACAAGCAAATTTAGATTGGACGGAATTAGAGAATTCAAGTCGTGAAGAAGAAAGAAAAGATATTGTTGAAAGGAAGGTAAGCACAACGCAAACTCCAATACAACTGGTTACGCGTACTTTGAAAAAACCTGCACATAAATATGCCGATCCAACAAGCAGCGCTTCAAGAGAGGAAGAAGAAGCACAAGCGAAAACAGTTAACCCCGAGTATGTGATGCATAAGAAACAATTAAATCTTCTTAATTCATTAGATTATGAAACAGAAAAATCAGTAATAGATGCTGAATCAAAGGAAGACAAATATAACTCTGAGACATTCTCATTCATGTAGAATGAACTGTGAACATTAAAGTTATTAATTAAATGTAATAATAAAGAATTTAACTGGTGAGCTACAGATGTTTGAACCATGTTAATTGTTATTAAAATGTATAATGGAAGTGTTTTTTCTGCTTTTATTCCAAACCAACTAATAGTAGCATTTATTTGAATACTTCTACTAGTTTCTTTTTAACTTCAAAAGTAGTTTTATAGGTAGTAATTTGCTAACTCAGTTTATATCGTTTATCGTTCCAACTTATGGTAAGGACTATTAATTTTAGACATCCGTAGTGTGTTCGCTTGATTACTGATACAATCTAGTCACCGGTATATTGAAATTATACAGCTATATATCTTTTGTGGTAATTATAAATTAATAATAGTTGCCTAATGAGGTCAAGACGATTCATCAACTACTTGTAGTAAAATCAATAGAATTGAATATACATTTGGTTGATTTTTCTTTGAAATTTATTGGTCTTTTGATGTTATATAGTTTACTATAATGGAAGATTTTGTCAAAGTAAAGCTATCTTTTTTATGGAAATTCAAAGCTGTATAGAATATCTGCTTATGGTATAACAAATATGGAGGAAATTTGAAATATAAAAGACATTTTTTCGGCAGCTGATTCTGGTAATACTAATGGTTCATAATTGATTTTAAATGCTGCTACTGAATTGAAAAAAAATACATATATTTATTTGTCTTACTATAGCTGGCTCTTGAAGTATTATTTTTATAGACCTCAGATGATGCAACGGATTTAAAAATTATGCTTATATTTATTATAGAATTATAACTAGTTGTAATTTTTCATTAAAATTGTTTTAAACCCTGATCAAAAACTTTTTACATTTGATGATGATGAATGAAAGATATTGGAACAGATTTTCTTAGTGTATTTCAGAGCATCATATGGCCTTATAAAGTCACAAATATTACAAAATATTAATATGGTATCATAAAAATCGGCATATAAGTGGCATATTTGTGTAAGAACAACTAGAAATCAACTTATATACAGACAGAAGCTATCATATTTGTAATATTATTAGTAGGAAGTATGATTTAAATATATATATGTATATGGCTCGGTATTCTGACGATATATGACCTTAAAAAATACGCTTAATGTTAATACTACAGCTTAAAATGACGAAACGTGTCTCTTGATTATAAGTATTATAAATGGCATATGTGTTAATTATTTAAAGATTCTTCTAGAGACGAAACCTCTCATCATTCCATGTATTCACCGTGCGAGTGCCGGGTCCATCGTTGTAGTGAGAGGAAGCTCCTCAGGAACAGTGACTGGGACTTGTGACCCAGGTGTAGGTTTAAGGGACCCTATCTAACGCGTTAAACGCTCACCTCCACCGTCCAAGCTCCTCTCCCTACCTAACAAAATTGAAAAGAACCTACTAGGGCTGCCTTCGAAGTGTTTTTCAAGAATGAATTAATGTATAGAATACAATATATATTTGTGTATATTAAAGTGTGTGGCCACAGTGTATTTAATCCCGATGTCGCAACTCGTTCCGCGCCGCCTCAGCCGCGTCTTCCGCTAACAGTTGCACCATACACTCAACATAATCCGAATCAATTACTGTTTTGAATTTCTTTGTTTATTAATGAGAAGTTATATCGACTAACGCCTTTTTATACATGTGTGTTATATTTAGAGCATACTTTATATAATTGTTAGTAGATATATTGCTTACTTAATTAGCAAAATTATTATTTTTCGCATCTCATCTGTCAGATTGATCAGATTAAAAATAAGTTTAAGTCAAATTTCATTTACAAGTCTACATATATATATAAAATTTATCAAATAATAAAATCATTTACGTATCTTTGTACGTATTTACTTACACAAAGACATATTTGTATAACTAACTAAAACAAAGTTTATTTGATAAAAACAATAATTAAATAACAATATAGTAAGGATTACAAGCATTACCTTGATTGAGATATAAAGTTATTTTTTAATTTTTTTTTGGATATTAATGAGTGTACTGCAATAATTTGATAAATTAAATATGTGGAGTTCTTTAGTTATATTCATTTAAGGTCTTTGTTTTAGTTTATAAGTCATTATTTGTCTATTTGTAGTAAAGTCATTAAATAAAAAGTGTGTAAAATTGGAATATTATGGTTCTGGAAATAAAGTGATTTATTTATTTATTTATTTTAGTAAAAGTAAGTAAGTTATAATATATAATGAACAACTTAGTCGTACAAGTTACAATACACATATTATTTATTTATTTATGGGAAAATATACAGCTTATATAACAAATTATTTCGGTGCTGTAAAAGCAATATAGCCACAACAGTTGAAACAGTTATTTTGACACGGAGTATTTTATACCTAAAATTATAAATAATAAATAAAAAAACATTATATACATAGTATGTAATACTTGAGTTGCTAAAGAACTAGTAATATATATATATATATATGTATGAATTAACTGCTCCCTGTCGTTTGTCTGCGAAATTCTATATATAACAAAATCCTTTTTGGATAAAAACATAAAGACCCTCAAAAACTTTCACATTTAAAATAATAATTTGTATTATTTATTCATCAAATTATATATACGTCTTCTGATTTCTTTTAATTTTTTATCAAATTTTCATACTCTAGTTATAAATTTTTTTATCTCCTATTTATTGTATATGTATATTTAATTTTAATTACTACATCCTAAATATATTATTCTTATATATATTAAGTTTTTAATGTATTATATGTTAATTACACAATACTATAATAAAAAACCTAAGCACTATACTCGCTGACCCCCAAATATCATTCTCTGTCATGGGTACAAGCCACCGTGTCTCAAATCTGACACTTTACGATACAGCATCAGAGAGTACGGTCGAGTATTCACAAATACACGCGGATTAAAAAAAAACATAATTTTCCATATTATTGGTGTATGAAGAAAATTGTTATTTTTAGTGATATCTGTGTGAAGTTTTCATAAGTGAAAGAAGTTTATACCAGGTAGGTTGTGTAATACTTTATATAATAGTTCATGGTGTGTGGAAGAAGTTATAAAATAATTTGCTATTTTTATGGGACTTTTATTGGAGCCCGTTGATGTCTTTTTTATTGGAGGCCATGGATGTAAATATACAGTGTAGCTATTATATTTTATAAATATATTTTTGATAAGGTTTAGAAAATAAATATAATTAGTATTGCAAATATTATATATCGTTATATGTAAAGAAAGTCACATTTCATTAAATACTATTAAAAATTTCAAATTATTACAATTTCTTTTATATTTTGATGTAAGAATTTGTAGATAATATTGTTTGGAGAGTGGTGTCTTTGCGTATAAGAACATTTTACTAATATTTTTTCACGTATCCTTCCATTTATCTATCTATAAACACAACTTTATCAATATCTATTTCTAATATAATTTTCTGCTCAAAGCTTCTTCTATATGAATCAAATGAGACATTTACATCCAAATTTAGATCTCAAGTTAATCTATATAGCCTTAAGGTTTTGTGTTTATGTATACATACAGGGTGACTGGTGAATTACTATCGATACTTGAGGACGTGATATTTGACGATCATATATGACAAAATAAAAATTAATATAACATAAATATTAATAGACTTCTAAGTAAAGTTAACCAAAAGTTATGTAATTAATATATATATATATATATGTGTATAGTCTTAGTATAATATTCTTAGTATGTAAAATAGAAAAGAAACTCACAAACAATAAAATTTTACAACGATAGACAATAAAAGGCTCCACTTGTAATTGGTCGTGAGAAGTTTGAATAGATAATGTAACGCTCTCACTTTAAATGAAATTGAAAGTTCCTTTATTGTTTTTGAAGGTTTTTTTTTGCATATACATTAATAAAAGATAGTATAAATATATTTTTATGTCCTATAGATTGTCTGGACATACAAAATTTAATTAGGAAAAAATATTTTTTGTCATTCAAATTTAAAAAGAAGTCTTTAATCTCAAAAAATTTAGATTATTTTTAGACATTATTTTTTGCATATATAATATTGTTATATTTTTTACCACTAATGTCCATCTATACTTAATGAGACGGTAAATTAAAATTAAAATATTCATTTATTTTTTAGTATTTAGCGAATTATGTAATAACTAGTACTTCATCTCTGAAATAAAAGAATTTTTATAAAGTAAACTAAAATAGAAATCGAGTTTATCTTTCTTGTGATAAAATGTAAAAGTGTAACAATAGTAAGGTTGTTGTTACGAGAGATGTAAACACACGGGCCGATAGTTGGAACGAGACCATGAGCTTAGAATTGTCATTAAAAAGAGTTTTATGACCAAAAAACATTGTAAAATTAATGAAATAAATGTTATTCCTATATATAAGTATTAAATTAATATAATAGGTAATAAAAATAATAATTTTCATTATGTACATAAATAATTTTTATTTTCGACTTAGTTAAAACACATTTTTACTAAAACAATTCTTTGTAGAAATATTTAGTGACGTGCATTATGATAAAAAAATATTACTTGTTTTAATTATCATATAGAATTGCACTATTTTGTAAATATTTAGTTTCCAAGTCGTGATAGGACGGTATATCTGTCCGTATGATTTCACTTGTCCACTCGACTGTGAAATGTTTCATAATCACTCCTCGTCTATAGTACCCAGCTTCTATTACACGCTTTTCATTTATTAATAGAATTTCCAGAGCAAATTGAATTGATTATACAAAAATAATTATTATTCAATTCATTAATTATATAAGAATAAATAAAACTTGTATTCTATTCCTATGTTTTAAATATATAAAAGACTTGCGAATGTCCATTCATTCTTTGAACGTACTTCGATGGCAGCCCTAGTAGGTTCTTTTCAAATTTGGTGAGGTATTGAGAGAAGCTTGGACAGTGGAGTTGACCGTTTAACGCGTTAGATAGGGTCCTTAAACCTACACCTGGGTCACAAGTACCAGTCACTGTTGAAGCTCCTCTCACTACAACGATGGACTCGACACACGCACCGTGAATACATTGAATGATGAGAGGTTTCGTCTCGGTTCAATAGTAAAATACTTATACATACCTAGTTATAATTTTAATTACCACAACTTAATACACTTTGTTTCATAGACAAAGACGCGTAACACAATCTAGCTTATGATCGGTTTTGTATCGAATAACATAATTAATTTTGAAAGTCAATGCTTTCAAAATAATTAATTTTAAAGGTCTTTTTATTATTATATTATTGTGTATGTCTGTCAATATTTTATTTCTGAGTCTTAATGGTTGAAGTTGTGGACTTAAAAATAGACGCAGCGTACTTTTTGTTATGTTATAATAATATTTCGTCACTTATAAGAAGAATGTCAAGGTGATTGCACTTATGACTCGTCATTTGGGAGATACAAAGGTCAAAAGATTGAGAAAGGGTTGGATCTTGGGTACTTAAAACTAGGTTCTGTCTAATACTGAATCTTCTTCTTGTATCTGGCAATTTCCCAGCTTTAGCCAGGGTCTGCTTACATGTTGTGAATAGTTTTGCCTAATTGTTTTTACGACCGGTCGCCTGCCTGACATCAACTCTCTTTGGGAATGCATTAATCAGTGATGTCTAAATACTCTTAGAAAGTACATATGATTCGGAAAAATCACATTGGTACTTGCCAGGATCGAACCCGCGCCCTCATGTATGAGAGGCTGGCCCTTTAAACTACTAGGCCACCACTGACTAATACTGAATAAAATCGATTAATTTTAATATTATCTTAGTGTGCATTTTAATTACAAACGATCATAATTAAAAAAAATGAAGGTCAATTTACTAAATAACGGATGAGGAAATTAATATTTTGTAATGTCCGTTTGTCTCAAAATTGTATATATATTTTTTGTTACGTATTCTACATAAATTAAATATGTCGAGCCTTTTATATATAGTAGTTCTAAGGCTAAATTAAATAATAATTTATGTATATTCTCTGTTTAAGGAAGCTTGAAGTCAGGTCAAATTATATATACCTCAAACAATTTACATATACTACTCGCAACTTAGTTTTATTTTACACTTAATATATTGTCTTTTCATCACACTATCCTTGACGATATGAAAAATTTCAAAACAATCAAATATTTATTTATAGAATGGGTTTTAACAAACAAATTATTACATTTATATTTGGTTAGTATTTAATTGAAGGTCATTGACTGTTTGTACTGGCAGCATCCGAAACTATTTTAAATGTTTCATAGCTATGGCATACATAAATACATACATACATAAGTCAGTGGTGGCCTAGTGGTTAAAACGCCCGCCTCTCATGCACGAGGGCGCGGGCTCGATCCTGGCAAGTACCAATGTGATTTTTACGAGTCATATGTACTTTGTAAGAATTAATACATCACTGATTAATGCATTCCCAAAGAAAGTTGATGTCAGGCAGGCGGCCGGTCGTAAAAACAATTAGCCAAAACTATTCACAACATATAAGGCAGACCCTGGCTAAAGCTGGGAAATTGCCAGGTAGAAGAAGATACATATATACATACATTTATTAACAGCTACATAAGAATTGTCTCTGTGATTTGTAAGCAACTAAATCTTTCACAATACATTATTTACTTGTGTTAATATTTGTATTGGTATTTCAAAACTCTTCAAAGTTAATTTACTGACAAGGTATCAAGGGCGATAGTAGATCTCACGAAGTAGTATTATGTTTATACATAGTATAATAATATACTATGAACTTTAACTTTCAAGTTATCTATAGATAATTTAGCTATATGTAATATGTAAATTTATAATCTATTCCAATTAAGCAGTATAATTTTGCTTGTTTAACTGTTTCCTAAGGCAATCTTTATCCAATTTTGTATACTTATGCAAATAAAGATGACGTTTCAAGGCATAGGTAATCCTTTATCTCAAAGAAACGACTGTGTCTTAGAAAAATATGAATATTGATTAAGATTTTTATATAGATGAAAAAATAATCATAATTCAATACTTAGCATAAATATATGTATTATATATACTCTTCTTCTTCCTTGAAATTTAACAGCTTTAGCCAGGGTCTGCCTTAAATGTTGTGAATAGTTTTGTCTAATTGTTTTTTACGACCGGCCGCCTGCCTGACATCAACCCTCTTTGGGAATGTATGTATTATAAATAGTATTAATAACAAAATATCTTCTATAAGCCAATAAACATATATATATGTATATATATGAGTGTTTATATATGTATATCTCTTTATGGTCATCTGATAGCCGGTTTGAAACAGGTATCCGTAAAAGAATCCGACTGATGACGTAACTTATTACGTCATCGTTAAGGGCCTGATAAGATGTGGCATTTACTAGATACGAGAAATTGGGTAATATGTTAAGATTCTAGAAATGTTTGTAAATTACTACTTATGATTTATTAGTCAATCGTATTTACAATGGCGATGCCAATATTAGAAGTCTTACGAAAGTTCTTGAGTGAAATATGACACATTTGAGAAAACAAGCAGAGCTAATGATCAACTCAAATAAATAAATAAATGTTAAAAAAATGTTCAAAGATTTGATTGATTGAAACAATTTTTTCTTTCTTATGTATGACATATTTTACCTATATGTCATTATTATTTTTTCCTATGCTAACTTCTCCATTCTCGTAACTAAGACTATGTCAGTTAATAATTATAAGTGATAATTACTAGAGAATATAAAATTGTGTTATTTTACTGACACTGTCTTTATAATATCTATATATCTGTATCTATAGATATATATCTATATGTATCTATGTAAGTTTTATATACAGGGTGACTGGTGAATTACTATCAATATTTAAGGAGAATACTCAGTACATGATTCTCATTCGAATTATGTATAAAAAAGAGGTACTTAATTTTTGACCAAATTTCCGTATAAATAAATAAAGTGTGGACAGGTTCCAAGTGTTCCAAGTGTGGACGCGTGCGGCGGCGTGGTGTTGTATCAGCACGCCGCCGCACGCGTGTGTGTGTGTGTGTATACCTAATCTGTAGGCTGTTCACACGATGCGTAATTAATTACACAACTTTTGGTTAACTTTACTAAGAAGTTTATTAATATTTATGTTATATTAATTTTTATTTTGTCATATATGATCGTCAAATATCACGTCCTCAAGTATCGATAGTAATTCACCAGTCACCCTGTATAAAATGATTGAATATAACAAAAATGTCATGATATTTTATAAGATCTTAGCTAGTTTTAAAAGATACATTAAATTGTTAGAACGGATCTAAAACCCTTCACTCTGCATTCCTTATTCAATGTTAACTTGTTAAGGACAAAAAAGGAGGGCGCTTTGCCAATTAATTAAATACTTCAAGCCTTTAAAACACCATGTGTATAAAATGATGGTGTTTTAAGAATATACTTTAGAAATTATATATTTTTTGATCGATTAAGTTGACTTAAAACCAGACAAAAAGTAATTTATATATAAGAGTATATGATTTATACCATATATCTAATAATAATAAAAATACATCAAGTGATGTCAGGATACAATGATAGTTATTTTTTTTATGTATACATATATACAAATTTATTTATATTTTCTCATGCCCCAGATAACTCGAGAATTGTGAAACTATACAATGCAACAATAAGAGTTTTACGAAAATATGCAAATTTCGTTTCATTTATAATGCTTAATTTATATTATGATATGAGTATGGGAAATCGACTAAATCATTTAAATGAAATATTGAATGAGATCTAAGATTTTCGCGAGTATTCATTTAAATGAAACTAATATTTTCGGATTTAGTACGCGTGTTTTATTTTTGGTTATATAGTCAATTTAATTATTGCCGTAATTAAGATAAGTTAAAAGCAACAAATTAAACATACTTCATAAATATTCGTTGTGTTATGAAAGAAACATTAGTCCATTTAACATTTAGGTCAATGACAGTATCATTTTTATTTCAGATGGACTAAAAATGTTATACGGATGAATAAAATGAAGATCCCAAAGAGTTGTGTAATATTATATATTTATATCAAATTAATTTATTGCAAGTCTATAGATATAGAGAAAATAAATGACGGAAACAGCGGAAAGGATGGCATTGATAATAATATAATTGATTTTGATGATGAGTATTCCATTCAGTATAATAGAAAGTATGAAAACGAACCGTGGAAATCAAGCTTTAAGAAAGATTCATATAAATATAATGTTGAAAAACAAGATTATAAACAAGAGATTAATATCGAAAGTATACCTGATGATGTTGCGAGACGAGATTCAGTAGTTATCGAAAAGACGACAGAACTCAGCGTAATACCACTCGAACTGTTGAGTACAACAGAAAATCCTTTAATCAGTATCATGGAAAGTACTACTGATGCTGACTTAACAGTCATCCCATTATCAACAACAGAGAAAACAACAGTTGATATCATCATAAACCAGACGGTAACATTACCTTCCTACACTGAAATATCAGAGGATTTTAATTCAAGCACAGTGTTCTATGAAATGACCACAAGATCTATGTTAAATGATACAAATGAAGATATTAATAATAAACAATTAGTAACAGACGCAACACAAACTCAAGAATCTGATTCGGTAATGATAGATTTGAATAACGCTAGCGAAAATTTTACAAGCCCAGAAGTATCCAATTTAAATGACGATGACAAAAACGTAAATAAAACTATAAAAAGAGAATACGATAGTACAGAGACAGATCAAGATGTGCCAATCTTCACAGAATTAGACACAGAAGAACTAACAGAGGTCCCAGAAGATTATTATGATTCTAAAGACATAGTGCCAACTCCAGCTCCAAAGACGGACGCGATATCATTAATTTTTGGTCTAGCAGGAAGTGTTGTGGAAAGTGTTGTTGAGAGTGTAGCTGAAAGAGTAGTTCCAAGAGGATTATATGATTTGTTTAAACGTATGCAGAAACAAAGTGAGGCTTTGGAAGCTGAAAAATTGAGAAGCAGAGAAGAAAATGGAGGTATAGGTAAGTGAACGAATATAATATTAACGTTATACTATTTCAATGATTTATCACACTGTGAAATGAACAAGATATTCTTCTTACAGATTATGTAATACAATTAGCGTGAACTTTTGTTTCATCACCTTAAGGCAAATTTAACTAATAGTACTAAATACAAAGAAGAAGAAATTATAAATATTACTTTAGCTTCTAATGAATTTCTTCTTTTTCTATCATGATTTTTTAATAAATGTTTTAATTTATGTAAGTTATTTTTTCATGAAGTTCTATTCCAACCATCAAATATAGTTTGTTTATTATTTACTTACAATAAGTAGTTGATCACTGTCATCATTTTTAAATTGTATTATATATTATAAGAGGACGTCTGGCCGAATCTACTTTCTAAGAGTATTTAGACACCACTGACATACGGTGAAGAAAAACATAGGGGGAAACCTGGACTTATAATTTCAAAATTATAAATTTGAAATCACCAACCTGTTTTGAGCAATCTTGGTGATTAATGTTCAAATATTCCCCATGTGAGAGAAGGGCTTTTGTTCAGCAGTGGGCTCTGATAGGCTGATGATCAACTGGTCGAATCCTTTGTAAAAAGAGCACTGCAATTTCCAGGTCAGTTTACTCGAGGAGTTATAAAGACTATATCATCTGGTCTGAGCAAACCCCTCAGCCAACTGATGGCAGGAGTTCGAGATATTGGTTCATTGGACAGTGACCGTGGCTTCGTCAGCAGCCTGGCGTCCGGCGTGGCCAGTGGAGTCACCAGCGTCGCTAACGTAGCCACTTCTATGGTTGACGTATTCAAAGATAGGGTTCAGGCGATTTATCCAGGTATTCTTTGAGTTTCTATTCCCTGATAGCTTTCGCAATGCTTGGGGTATTAAATGCAGTAGTAATATCTATAATTAGATCTAAGACTATCGCGTGTATTCATTTAAATGAAACTAATATTATTCGGATCACTACGTGTATTTTTTAATACATGTAATAATATTAGTTTCATTTAAGTAATATCTATAGATAATTAATTAATTTTGTAGTATCTACAGTTAGAAGTTTTCTTCGAAGTAGCGACGGACGTCTTATTTTTTTCTGTAATAAAACTACAATAATAAAACAAACTCATTATAACCAGCATAATCTGCTGTCAATTTGAAATAATGATTCTCTAGATGTAAGATTTTTTTTGACTATTATTCATCTACTATTTACTTCAAGGTTGAGTCGCGAGTGCAAAGTTGTTTGTTGTATAAGTAACAAGTCATTAGGACAATATTTTTTGTTTCTCATAACAAAGATATATTTATGATAAATATAATTTAAATGTAAATATTGTATCTATTTGAATTTCATTTAAATGAAACTAATATTTTTCGGATTATACCACGCGATTTTATTTTTGTAAAAATTAAATACTCCCGACGTTTCGGTTACTTTTCAGCAACCGTGATCACGGGCAGACGAGATTTTTAGTATAATCCGAAAAAATATTTGTTTCATTTAAATGAATAACTCGCAAAAATCTTAGCTCTTATTATTCTATTTGAATTTGTTATAATTTAAATTAATATAAACCTTTCAAAGAGCATATGTCATATATTAATGAGAATTTTCGTAGGAACGTTGTGGTGTGGTGACGGTCGCTCGGCTCGTTCTGGAGAGCTTGGCTTATTCTTCTTCACCGACACCTGTTGCCGTCAACATGATGCTTGCAAGCTGTATATTGCTGCTGGAGAAACCAAGTTCGGTCTCACAAATACCGGATTATTTACCAGGTGAACTACTTTCATATTTTCTATTCATTGATAAGGTAAAATAGTTATTTCTATTAATGAAGTCTTTGTTATAGATTCTATAAGTATACTTTATTTCGTATATTTTATGCCTTACTACAATATTTCACGTCAAATCTTTGCTCCTTTACTGGAGTTTTGTTGCAAATATTCTTAGTAGTAAAATAATTTTTTAATGAAGAATAATTGAGTAATTTATTTAAAGTTTACAAAACATATATAAAATCAATAGATATTATATTTTTAATAATAATTCTCTCGTTTCTTTATAAATTCCCAACAGTTTTCAATAAGGCTCACATATTATATTGTCAAGTGCATATTTATTGTAAATATTTATAAATAACATCGTGTGAACTAAAATCTGTTTATAATAAACTACTAACCTTGAATAAGTTTTCTCAAGACCAAATTGAAATCACTCACACATAATAGGTAGTTATGTAAGTCAGTGGTGGCCTAGTGGTTAAAAGGCCCGCCTTTCATCCGCGAGGGCGCAGGTTCTATCCTGGCAAGTACCAATGTGATTTTTCCGAGTCATATGTACTTTCTAACAGTATTTAGATATCACTGATTAATGCATTCTCAAAGAGGGTTGATGTCAGGCAGGCGGCCGGTCGTAAAAACAATTAGCTAAAACTATTCACAACATGTAAGGCAGACCCTGGCTTAAGCTGGGAAATTGCCAAGTAGAAGATAATAGTAGTTATGTATGTAAATATTAATATATTTTAACATGGCTGCTATAGAATAACTTTCTTCTTACTGGCGCATGTCGGTCAAAGATTACGTGAGTCTTGCATAACACCAATTATATACTTTAGCATTATTGAATACTTCAAGAATATAAAACAAAATGGTAAAAAAATAATAATATTGGTTCATGCTTTTAAAAGTAATCAAATAAATTTTAATTCAAATTATTTCTATTAACTTATTTATATTAATAAGTAGATTTTATACGGAATACATCATTAATAAAAATCTTTTTATATTATAATTAATCAATTAAAACAATATTAATTAAAAATATATTAAAATTAATCGATTTTAGCTTTATATTTCATTTAAAACATCTACATTACGTACGTAAAACGATTTAATTTTTCATATTAATATCAAAATAATACTAGTATAAGTATTATTTTGTGAATAATTTTATTCAGAACATAAATATTTTAAGTTATTTTTGTTCTACTAGTTTCTTCACGATGTTTCTCTTTATTTTTGTTGATTGCAATCATAATGGTCTAGAGGTCAAGAAGTTCGTTCGTACTTAACGTTACTTTTGTGAATTGCTCATAATTCATACAAATAATATTTGTCTGTCAGTCTCGATACAAAGCTTTATTGTAATAAAATATAGGATTTTTTAAACGAGCTGGAATATAGGGAATTTTGTTTAATGTGACGATTATATCATACTAGCTTTCCGCCCTCAGTTTCGCCCGCGTGGAGTTCGGTTATATCGCGTTTCCAAGAGAACTTTTCAAAAGTCTGGGATAAAAACTATCCTATGTTCTTTCTCAAGATCAACTCCATCTTTGTACCAAATTTCATTAAAATCAGTTCAGTGGTTTAGACGTGAAAGTGTAACAGACAGACAGACAGAGTTGCTTTCGCATTTAAAATATCAGTGGGTAAAAAGAAATTGATTTAAATTACTACTCAGATAATTGTATCGTATTAAAAGTGTTTTTAACTAACGAATTTGTCTGGAAAAAAAAATTATTAAACTTAACATTTTGTGGAGTTTTTATATACATATAAAGTTTTCATGAAGATCACTCTCATTAATAATATAAAGAGTATTTTATTCCTACAAAATAAAATTCTCCTGGAATTAGGAAAGAATGCAAATAGTTTGATGTATTAGAGAAATTTACAATATTTACAAAAAAATCCGATAAATACTATATATCTATATATTAAGTTCTGACTACATGAATTTTTATTAGATTTTAAAGATGAATTTAATTATTTTTTTAAAGCGGTCCAAAGCTAGTTTTAATATCATTAAAAAAAATACATAAGTCCTTGCTTTTTATGCAATAAATTTAAAATATGTCATAATTATCATTTTAGTACGTATGTAGATGTGAATTTAGATATAAGTAACCCACATATTTACATAATATGTTACGTAAAAAAGCGTGTCAATGTACTTGTTTTAATATCAATTTAGCAGCGTTCAGAATTATATTATTTCCTTAATCGATGTATTTCTTAATAACTTTATGTTGTTCTACATCCATAGCAAATTTATGACCGTTAAGGATCCATTTACACGAGAAACTTTATTTTATTGATCGAACAATTCTATAGATTTAATAAAATACAAATAGACTTTGTATTTGAGTCGATTGAATGTTTTTTTAATTCTTCGTTTTATACAATTAAGAAAAATTTCTAAATTATTAGTCTTCTTTGACTTGCCTCACACGAAATTGAATTGAATTAGATATCACCTACATTTTGTTATTTGATGTGTTGAAATTAATATTAACCTTTATATTTATTCTTTATTCTTCTCATATAATATTTATTTTGAGAAGTTTCACTTGTAAGAAAAAGATTTTACAAACAAATTTAATATATATCGGATTTATCACAAATTTGTTGTTTTTAAAGAGAGGGACGCCAGCCTTGCTGACGTCACTAATGTCACTTCTTCCAGTATTCTAATTTATAAGCACATTCTTCAATGGTCCGCACTCACTGAACTCTGCCGTCGTGCGTCCAGACGTCATATTTATACCAAGATTCAAACATAGTTATATTCTCCTTTTAAACAGTATTTGATTTCGTTTTACTTTTAACAATAATCATGAATACTAATGAGTTTTTATAATAATTGTTGACAGTCTGAAATTATTTTCATGTCGCATCCGTTATTAAAGCTGATAGCGCCGATATATATTTTACTTTGACCATATCACTGACATTGTAAGGATGAAATAAATCTGTAAATAAGCAATAAATCGAAACATAAAATAAAAAAATATGGTATATGAATGCATTAATGTTACTTATTTTTAAGTAATTAAACTGACTTTGTACGCCATCTATGTGTGGTATACTTAGGTATAAATGTAAGAGCCTTCTTCTTCTTGGCAATTTCCCAGCTTTAGCCAGGGTTTGCTAGTCAAATGTAAGAGTATTTACTTCTCAGTGTAGTCTTAATTCTAATAAAGCCTTATTTTTCCAGGTCTCACTGCAGCTGTGACGCCAAATTCAGGTCTTGTCTCAGCCAGACCAATTCCCTGGTTTCTGCGCAGATTGGTTTGACGTACTTCAACGTCCTCGGACCTCAATGCTTCCGAAAAGCTCATCCAATTGTTAAATGTGTGCGAAGAACCAGGTAAGTTGTAAGGCCTTGTGGTCTTCCTAGTAAGGCCTTGTGGTCTTCCTAGTATAGACAAGGCTCTTGCGTACGAAGATTTATGTTTTTTATATATGCAATGCTTTACTGATTTATTGAAATATTTTTTGAATATCAATGTATTCATTTATTTTAAGAATTGTAATATAGTTTTGAAAACATTATGGAGAGAATATGTAAAAGTTTGTTCCATGTATAGTGATGTTTTTTTGTTTTGATTTTTATATTTCTGAGTTGCTTCTAATTGTTCAGTTTTTCTATAAGCCAAAAATTCATTCAAGAAATCAATTAGTTTATCTGAGAATAAATGACAGAATGAAGCTAACAAATTATTTATAAAAATTTTAATGCATTTTTAATTCAAAGAATGAAAAATACACTTTTTATATATTATTATTTAACTAGCATTTCTTGCTATTCCAATAAACAATAATATACTGTCATGTTATAATAATGTTTTTTATATGATATATATTTTTTTCAGGATAACTGGTCTTAAATGCGAAGAGTACGAGCTAGATTACACAAAACCGAAAATCTGGCAGTGGTTTGACAACGAAACGTTTTGAGAGAAGATTACTTTAGTAGAGGTTTAAATTAATTATAATTTATTAATCAGTTAATAAGTTAATTAACGGAGAAGTGTATTTAATGTTCTAGATTGTGTACACAATTTTATGTACAGTGTTTTGTATGTAAAAATACAAATTGGACATATTGTTTTGTTATTTATTTAAATAAACTAACATTAATAAATTATGTATAAAATAAAACTTCCATTTATATAAGAAACATCAGAATATATTTCAAAATGTTACACATTAAATAAATACAATAAAATTAAGGACATAACTCACGCTAGCTGTCATTAATTTGACAGGTTTTTGACAGTAATACTTTTTTATTTCAATAAATAGAAGTGAGGCAAAATATATATCTATCTCTTTCTGACATTTTGAGGTTGAGTTTCATGGTGTCCTTTCTATAGAATATCTATCTATGAGATAGATATATATTTCCACTCTATATATATATTGTAATTCTCGCAAACATTCTATAATTAATATAAATGCATACGTCCTTCCTAAATGAGTAATTATCTGTCAAAAATAAGCCGGCTACCATAATATAATGTTGTGCGCAAAAATGTTTCCCAAAAATGTGTAAATAGATATGTGTATTAACGAGGAGTGTGCAGTCATTGATCGTTGAAATAAAAAATAATTTGACATCCCTATGACTGAGATATTTTGAAAGGAAGACCAATTGTTAATATTGAATTTAAAAAAACTTCATTTTGACATAAGCCGACACAAATGATGATCTAGGGTTATAAGTAAATTGTAAATTATAAATTAAATTACAATTCTATAGATTATATTATATGAGAATACATCAATATAAGGTTATTTTACATATAAAAATCTAAGGTAAGCTAACGCTATGAGGTTTGGCTACATGTATTGCTCACGTGATCCATATATCTGGATTTAAGTAGGATTCAGACTTGGACCTGGTTTATGCGAATGGGATTAATTAATGTATAATTAATATGTATATAATGAATGATTAATTCTGTTTGTATGTATTATGAAAGCAAACTGCATATGAAATGTAGAGCGAAAATCTAAGTTACCCTTATTGTCAATTCCCTGGTTTTTCCTACATCCTTTAATCAACCTGATTATCGATTATCATCAATGATATATATCATTATATAATGATATGATAATGATATCCAACAATCAGATTACCTAACAGCTAAGCCGCTACATGACCCGAATAGGATGGTCCAGGATTGTCCAAGGGTGGAAGTGTAATTGGTGTTTTAATTGGACCCTGGGATTTAAGCTTTATTAAAATTATTAGAAGCGCTAAGCCTCCTTCACATCTACTTTATAACTACAATTTGAAGTTGTTTTAAATTTTATGACGATACTGCCACTGTTAAAGAAAATTTGTATCGTATATGCTGGTGTTAAATTCAAAAGAATTTTTAAAATATATTTGTTTGTTGCTTTTAATGTTCAATTGTCTATAATTTTTAAATTCCTTGAATGAAATAAAAATTACATAATATGATTTATTTTTGCCAAAAAAACTATAAAATTGAACGCGTTCGTCTCAAGGCTCTGTTTACGTGGCAACTATATATGGTATTTATATTTTAAGTAAAACAACCCCAAATTTCACACTCATATAACATCAAAACATTAAATTACGATTCACATATAATAATTTTTAATATATAACTAGGTTCTAGCGTCTACCACGGCTTAAATAAACTCTAATAAAATAAGGCAAATGGGTATTACGGAGGGATTTAAAATACTAAATATCAGGCACTCAAATTGAAATTATTTTCCATTTTACAAATAAACTTACAGGTCTAGGTTTTTGGAATTATCCTAAAAAGAAAACAGCTATGCGGGTTGCTAATCAACGCTACCAAAATGTTTCAAAATTTTGGTAAAAATTATTGGATGGATTTGACAGTTCAGTTGAATTTTTTTTCATTTCTAATCAACGCCTCATCTGTTCGTATGCCTGATAACGCTTAACATGCACTAATCATCTGTTATGGCTTAAAAGAACATATTTTTTTAGTAATTGAAGTAATTGTTATTCTCTATCAATTGTTTTTTGTTTATACTATAGTAAATCGTATTAAAATATATTATTTTAAGCCACGTCACCACCTAAAGACATTCTAAATCTAGCTCGAAACTTTCTAAATGTTTGTTTAATACTAATTCGTTAGCTTACAATACGAAGCCGTGGACCCAATATTTGATTTATTTTAAGATTTTGATTACTATAGATTCAACATAATGATAGCGTGGATAAAATGACACAACAAAAAGGTTTACATAAAAAAAATGAAGAATACCTACATCTTTACAATACTGTATGCAATCACTATTATGTCTGATCGTAAATGTACATCACTATACTTAAACTACTAAAACATGCAAAATATAATCATATACAATATTAAAAATGGTTAAGTGCTGTAATATCCAGTAAAATTTTTAATATAAATGACAAAAAATGTTGTTATATTTTATCGAACATCTACTTGGAATATACATATAAACGGGAGACACGATGGGATCACATATATTTCATTAAACTACGATTTTTCATTATATCTACTAATACTCGTCATCACTACTTTACAAAATTTTATTTTATTATATATTTTTTTAGAGCAATAACAAAACGCATATTCATTTTGGTTGTATTCAATAGATGGCGTTGTATGCCACGTTAGTTATTTGTAAATTAACATTCGTATGTTGTAGACAATAGATGGCGTTGTTGCCAAATTAGTTAATTGTAAAATTAACATTCGTTTTTATTTGTTTATTTTTTATAATTATATCAATTTAATCACGGTCATATCACCGTATATTATAAAATATATATCTGTCACACTGACAGCCGCCGGCCCGCCATTATTTCTTGCATGAAGCCGTATAGTAATTTAATCTTTTAAGCAAAACATATTGGCCCTTCTCGTGTGAAAAATCTTGCGTTTAAACTAGACAAAGCAAAATGCATGAAAATAAATTTGCTTAAATTTCATCAAACTCGTTTTTAAAAGAAAATATCACGTTCATTAAACAAGAACTTCGGTAATATTTCAAAATACATATATACATATTATCGTCTCGGCAAAAGTCAATGAAGACTATTAAGTCTTAATGCGAATTGATTTCCAATTAATTCCAAAAGAAGGGGCTTAGTAGCAATTATAAAATAATTATAGGCATCTAACACAAATCTATATGGAATATAAAACAATTAGAGATAAAAAACACGCAAATTAATATATGAAATAGGGTGGTTTCTACGCGTAATTGGCAGCGCAATCGAAGAATGGGAAGCAGGCGACGGGCGCGGCGGCTGAATGCTACAGAACGTGGAGGTTTTCACAGGACTTGGATTTGGAGTCACGAGCCCAAACACGACCGAGTAAACCACGAACCTGGAGAAAAAATTGGTTATATTAGTCATTTTTTGTTTCGAATTGACTAAAGCTGTTAGCCCTATTGGCTTTCACAGCGTCACCGAGAGTCATGAATATAATAATGTTAGGTTAAAGATAGCTCTGTTAATACTATTTTTTTTTAAACTATAACTATTTATTCGGAATTTACTATGGTATTTAATTATTGTAAATTTTATCTAAAGTTATGATTTCAGTGATGGTCAAGGATTTACGAGGTAAAGTATTACTTGTTCAGAAAAGAAAAATATATGTAATTCTATTAATAATTACAAATTATGATCTCTTAGATTTACACGAGTATGTATATAAATGAAGCTAATATTTTCGGATAACTACGAGTCTGCAATGAGACATTTACCTACATCTCGTTTGCCCGTAATCCCGTTGATGAAAAGTAATCCAAACGTAGAAGTATGTAGTTAAAGTAATAAAAAAACACGTAGTAATCCGATAAAATTAGTTTCTTTTACCTCTTTTTTTGACTTATCTGAAGTTATGTGAAATATAAGTGCTATGTTCCTACCTTAACACTGGCTGATAATCGGGTCCGTTTACGCGGCGTGCTGGCAGCGGAGGCGGGAGAGGGAGCGGGAGCGGGTTCACTGTCTAGCGGAGAGCGGGCGCGGCTGCGGTTCTTACGAGATGTACTGCGTTTTCTGGAATGATCAGAAATACAAATGTATACACATTATATCTTTATATATATAATTCTTCCGTGAGTGTGTATGTCACTGAACTTCTCTCAAACGACTGTGTATGTTCAAGGGAATCTGGGAAATGGTTTAGATTCACAATTTTGTCCGCTGGACAATGTTTTTTTAATTAATTTTTAATTTATCAGTAGTTGTTGATACTAACTTTTTTTTGACATTAGATTTGACAACTAACTAATATGTCAATAATTCTGTCGCACTTCAAAAATCGGAGATTAATGGCTTTAATATGTAAACTCCAAAAATATAAATAAAAAAACGTAACAGATATTTCTTGATTATAGGGCGATACGAAGTTCGCCGGGTCTTCTACATAGTATGACTATAATATTGAATGGTCTAACAATCTTGTTGTTTTGATGATTGTTACGATTGAAATATGTTCAAATTTGTATTGACTAATAATAACGTCACTGAATTTTTCGTTCGAATTAACCGTTTCAAACTATAAGCCATTAATTTGTTGGACTATCTTCTTAATTTTTAATACAAAAACCTATACTGAATCCTGTTATGATATATATTTTACGTAAACTTTTATGACATAGTGTATAAACCATTTAATACAGGTGATTCTCGATTTTCTTTAATATGTATTAGATAATGCTTGAAGATGTAAGGCAGACCCTAGCTAAAGCTGGGAAATTGCCAGGTAGAAGAAGTATTGCTTGAAGATGGAAATGAAGTAGTAGATCGTGAACAAACTATTTTAGTATCAGCGTATTTACTTTGAAGACACCCAAAGAAAACATCTATCACAACTTCTCACAAAATTTTAGTTTTAAATACACTGAGAGTGGGTTGTTGGCTGATAAACTACCTATAGTTATATGATGGAAATTTGTGCTACTTGTGGTAAGGTACAGTTACCAATGCTGTCTATTCTGACATATGTTTCTCACCTGACTCTCTCCGCGTGTTGCTGCTTCAACCTGATCTGTGTGAGGAGTCCTACCAGCAGTTCGTCCACGTTGTGGTTGATGCCCACTGATGTTTCAATAAACTTGCACTCGTATGACGTCGCCAGGGCTTTGCCTTCTGAAGATGATAAGAGGATTTCATTTATTATTAGGTAATTAACGAGTTTTAGCTTTCTTGTTTGTTATATTGACTAAGATTTTGTGGGATTAAGTATACGTATGATATTATGCTAAATGGAGATAACGTTATATTTGTTTTTGATAAAATATATATGTGAGATTTAATGTATAATTTATACAATTTTATAGATATATATATCCAGTGATCACGGTTGCTAAAAAGTAGCCGAAACGTCGGGAGTATTTGGTTGTTTCACAAAAATAAAGCACGCATAGTATATAAGAAAAATATTAGTTTCATTTAAAGGAATAATACTCGCGAAGTCTTAGTTTTCATTATATTTTTTCGGGATGCGTTTATCTGCACACTAAGTTTTTCGTATTAAAATGGCGTATTACGTTTTTTCGATGAAGATGGAACTATATAAATAAAGCTAACTTAATATATAACATAAATATATATGTCATATATAGGCATACATCATTTGATATGTATATATGTTATGAATGACATAACATTATTAACAGTAATATATTTAGCTAATTAACAAAAATATCGAACAAAAAACTGTACACATCATAATTGGGTTTTTGAAAAAAAAAAAGTATTGATTTTTTTTATGTATTTTAAAACTTTATTATTAATTATATTGGATTTTTAATGCAAAAAACTTGAAATATATTTTTTAAATTAATTATAAACAATTAAAAATTGATAAAATTCAAAAATATATCACGTGACTGTAAACGCGCCATGATTGGTCAGCATACTTGTGACGTCATAATGTTAAAGCAATTTCATAATAGTACAGTGTTTATGGCTATTATCTTTAACTTGATAAAAATATCTCAAATTTATTAGTGAAAAACGATTTGAAAAGTTTATTTCGACTATGTGTGATAAAGGATTTATAAAAGCAAAATCGGATAATATTCCTGATGTTAATATATTTTTATGATAACTAATTTTTTAAAAAGTGCGGTTTAATTTTGCTGAAGTTCGAGGTGCTAAGACATCAAGGTAAGTCTGTCAAAAAATACTATTCTAAATGAAAATTAGTATTTATTCTCTATTAAATATAATTAATAATTATTTCATTAAATCATTATTAATAAAATGTTATTATAACATTATAAAAAAACCAAAATAACATATATGTACTTTAAAAATTTAAATGTAGTCTGATACAGAACCTAGAATGTTATAAAATTATGAAAATATCTATTAATTGAAGTCCAATTATTAGACAAACATATATATAGATTTACTATTTAATCGCTTTGAATTATCAATTAAAATTTTTTAATGCTACGATTCTAAAGGTTATGATTTGGAGCCCAGGTAAAAAAATTAATTATTGAACTATACTTATTCGATTTATACACTTAGATAAATAATAATTAATAACAATACTATTATGAAAACTTACAACGAAATGATCTTCACAACAAAAAAAAAATGATTTTGTTTTTGAATAATCTCGATGCACTGCTTGAAACCATTTCTTTCGACGTTTTTCGTCTTGTGGAACACATTTAAAAACATTTTTTCAGGAGTTGTTTTTGTAGTCTTTGTACATAATGGTACAAAACTTTTGATTATTTAACAATGCCAACAGAATTTACTAGATAAAAACTCAAAACACTGTACTAATTATTATATCTCTGTATGCTACAATGAGCAAAAACTAACATTGTGACGTCACACGCGCTCGGGTTTATTCGCGAGCTGTCGGCTTGTCTTCGGTACTGAATTTAAAATTTAATTTTTATTTTGAAATAACTTTTTAAATATTGCAAAAAAAAATAAAATAAAAATAGTTTTGTTATTAAACTTATATATGATCTTTCCATTTATCACAAAAAAAAAAATAATTCAAAAACCCAATTATAGTATGAAAAAAGTAAAAGAAAATGATACCATTTATCGCATCAAATGTAAGTGCATTCATTTAACTACATTTAAAAAGTGTACACTTTTAAATTTAAATGAAAACTAGTACACTGGTATTCGTCGAAATGAAAAAGGATTTGTTAAAATGCAAAGAGTAACGTTTTGGTTTGAGCGAATAAATAATAGGATACAATTAAAACGGCTCCTGTTTTAAACAGAAATATTTCAACAGTTCATTACAATGAGAACGTAAAAAAGGAGTTGATTTGAACGAAATCGTGAGGCGAATTAATTTAAAATGAAGAAATATTCTATTTAAAATTACTTTATCTTATATTGTACACAAAACAAAAGATTTTACTCAATAATTTATTAGGAGCTAAGTTTTATAATTACGCTGTATAAAATGGATTTATTATGTGTACACTCTTCCGTATATAACGATTATATATAGAATTATTACTATTATTATTATTATATATATATATGTTATTTAACATTATTGAAGATTTAGTTAGAAACTTCTTAATATAATGTTAACGGAAAATTCTGTATTAGGGGATAATTTTACGAGTTGTTAAGTCTTGAATAGATTAATGTCTGTTATACAGGGTGTTTGGAGGGTGAACAGCTTAGGAAAATGATCGATAAGTTGTGGCTAATTAAAAAACAATTTGACATAATTTTGTACTATTTTTCTAAAAAAATTTTTTTTTATATAAAAACTTAAATTAATCGTTATTGTAGTGTATATATTACTTCAGAGTTTTAAGGATTTAAACATATAAGATGGCGGGTTTGTTTTATATCGTAATTTAATCATTAGTCTTTCAGACGATATATTTCTTTGTACCTTTGTTTGAGTCTCAGTATTTTATTTTGCAATTTCTTGGATGTCATTAATTTTTAATTTGAATAATATTGTTTGTCATTTGTATATATAACAATTGAAATAATTCCGACATAATAAATATGTAATAATTAAAAAATATGGAAAAAAGTAATTAATATCAATATTTAATAAAACTTAATTTGATATAATAAATTGTATTTTATTTATAATCTGCTCTGTTTCCTAGCAAAGGAAAACATTATTTTTGAAAAATAATAATGTTCAAACACCTAATTTAAATAAAATTAATTCTGTTCAAAAATATACAACGGTTCTTTGTTTTATTTGAGAAACGAAATACAAAGAATTAAATATTTCTTTCTCATCGCATAAATTCTTCAATTAGTATTTTAATAAAGAAAAAACAACATTCTTTAAAAAAATAAAAGCTAAAAAATGGACTTGAAAACAAATCTTTAATTACGAATAGAATTTACGAGAAGAATTCATTTTGAAGTAAGAATTTACGAGAAGAATTCATTTTGAAGTAAGAATTCGGTATAATGGAGACGGAGTTAAGAAATTTATAGAAACGACGGAGATTAAGTAAAATATGTGTTATTTTTATTAAATTTAAATTAATATTTAAGAATTCGAAAATATGTTATGACTTCAAAGAAATTCTTATCTGACTTACATATAAGTAATCTTCTTCTATATATATAAAAATGGATTGCTGTTCCTTAGTCTCGCTAAAACTCGAGAACAGCTCAACGGATTTGTCTTATCTTAGTCTTGAAATGTTTGTGGAGGTTCAGGGAAGGTATAAAAGGTGAGAAAAATTGGAATAATTGCCGGGAAAACCCTAAAACCAGCCCTTTTCTATTTCCCATACAAACGCTTTTTTTGACATTAGATTTGACAACTAACTAATATGTCAATCATTATGTTTGATTGAAACAGGAAAAACCTGATTATTTATGGCCTCTTAGACGGAATAGAGTTCGTATGGTCAGCTACATATATTACTATATACATATATATTACTTCTACCTACATATATTACTCTTGACCAAACTAACGCGGACGAAGTCGCGGGCAAAAACTAGTTACAGATAAAAAATGATTTTATTATACATAACAATAATGTAAAACACGATTTTTTTTGCACTATAAAGTATTGTTACAAGTACCTAATACAATAGTTTGTCCTAGGCTGTACATGAATTAAAAAAAATTGACGTCAAAACCATAGAATATAAATATAAAAACAGAAAATATTAATCTATGGTTATAAAATAAGACTGAACTGAATTAAACTCAAGCCTCGGAAACATTTCATCGACAAACGTAACAACTTGCTGTCAATGTCAAATTAGTCACGTCGCGCATTTGATGTGACATCAGCTGTCATTTGTCAAGTACGCTGTCAGTGTGTTCGGAAATTAAGTATGGATTACTCAATAATTTAGTGTAATTTGTGGCATGAAAATAGATCTGCCATTTAATTAATTATTTATAAAGTAAATGTTATGTATGAATATTATAAATATTTTTGTGTGGTCTAAGCTTTAGAAAATTATGTGGTTTTAAAACCAACTAAACAATGTTTGTGATTTAAATACATGTAGAAAATTATCACTATGTGCTTCACTTATAAATAAGTAATTAATATATATATATATATTTTCTATAATATTTGTGATATATAGGTTTAACTAGCTTTTCTCCCACAGCTTCGCCCGCGTGGAGTTCGGTTATATCGCGTTTCCAAGAGAACCTTTCAAAAGTCTGGGATAAATACTATCCTATGTTCTTTCTCAAGGTTAACTCTACGTCTGTACCAAATTTTATTAAAATCAGCTCAGTGGTTTAGTCGTGAAAGCGTAACAGACAGACGGACAGATAGACAGAGTTATTTTCGCATTTATAATATTAGTAGGGATTATGAAACATATTTAATATAGAAAAATGATAAAATTTGAATTGTAAGTATTTACAATACTATGAAGAAAGTCAGTAATAGCTCAGTTTTAAATTTTTAAACCAATAAATACTATGTATAAGCAAATAAAATAAAATTAATTTATGATCTCGAGCATTATTTTAAACATAATTAATAACAACTAAAAGTCTTGTGTGTGAGAGACAATTATTTAAAAAAGACAAAGCAATTATCAAAATTAAATCTATTCTGGATAGTAGTTTATATAAAGACTTTTCTTCCAATGGAATAGCGTTCGTAGACATACCTTCAGTATTGACGACTCTCGATCTAGCCAAATCCGCCTTATTTCCGACCAGTATGACAGCCCGACGAGCAGTATGACCAGCAGCCCACAAAGCCTGCAGGCGGCGTTCAGCCTCAGCGAAGCTGGTGCGGTCAGCGGTGGAATAAACCACGCAGTAACCATGCGCTGAACCTTCTGACTGAGAAGTGATCATGGATTTAATGAGAGGAAATCGTCGGAGTAGAGCAAATCCGCGTAACTAGCATTGGATAATTCCGCGTATCTACATTAGAAGCAGATTATCAGACGAAAGTTTGGCAGATATTTTCTAAATTAACGACTTTTTAAGTAATTTTTTCGCAATTAGTAATTATTTAGTGTTTAATTTATTAATGGATGTTCGAATTAATGGTATGCAGTGACACGACAGACTTCTATTTCATAAAATAAAATCGGTATAAACATATTTTTTTGTTTATTAAACCACTAATTTTGATGGAGAAATAATTCATTTTATTCAACATAATTCTCCCATAGGAATCAAATAGAGCACAAAAATACATTTTTTTATTCAAATAGAAAGGTAATCAATAATAATTACATAGTCTTCATCAACTGATTGTATGGAATACCTGCATTAAAACATTAATATTTTCAATGAAATTAAAAAGCTATTTTCTATCTAATTGATGTAGTACATATAGTAATAGTTGTACTTAATTGTTTTTAATAATTTTAAGTGACTACTAATTATATTTTTAGTATACAAAAACTCATCAATCTAAAAAAAAAATTTGTGACAATAATTAACGTAAATAAGAATTACATGCTGACTTTTTATTATCTCATTTTGATTGTTCTATACTGCTTTTTTATGTCGACCAGCAAATAATGTTGCCGCATAAGTTTTAGCTTTTATTTCCAGCTTTATTTTCTATGTTAAGAACTCATACATAAATAAATTAATTAAATAGTTCATGAAGAAACACTGCGGTAGGCAGGTGACAAATCTTTTGTGTTATGTGAAATCAAATTGTTGTCATTACTACAGTTTATTTGCTGTTCCCACATCATCATTGTTTGAGCTATTGCAGCTTACTATCTAGTTTATTTAATTTATATATATATCTGTTAAGTCAGTTATATTGAGTAATTAATCTGACTTACGAGGACATGATCTGGTGGAGAGTCCAAGAATGTTATTTCAGATTCTTCACCCGCGAGCAAGACGCAAACGGATTTTTCACCGGACTCGTCATCTGAAAATTAACATATAAATAGGCAAATCTATTGAAAGTGTTATAAGAAAACCAATCCCCAAAAGAGCAGGGCCTTTTTTAATTCTGTTTGTTTAACAAAAAATACTTAAATTCTTTTTGTTTACATTTTAAGTGAAAGTACTTGCGTTGAAAGTCTTTGAAGTTGGGTATTAAAACTAATCTCATCTGAATAAATCAACTTATTCTACCAAATAACAAAAGAATAGTATAATAAAATGCAAAAGCAGCTTCAACATTAAAGAGATATAAGAATCAGTGTGAAACAAAGCGAATGTAATGTTCGTCTGGACCCGGGTTCTTCAAATGGTCCACTTTAATTGCTATCCAAGTTGACCCTCATTCTCACGTCGAGACAAGGAGACTCGTTTGGGTTCACGACCATTCAAATAATCTTTGATCTTTGATGTGTATAATTTTCCGCGACACTGAATTTCTAGGTAATAATTTGTTTAGGGTATTACATTACAAGATGTTATGTCAAGTTAATTTTCATTTTTTGTTTGTTCTGGGATCGACAAAACTTGTGTTTTGTGTATTAGATTCGAAAATTTATATATGCTTGTTTTCTTTTGTTGAGCCCAAAAAAAAAAAAAGATTTTTAAACATGAGTTTTTACAGGTTAATGGTCTAATTTGCTAACTGTAGATAATAAAACTTATTTAAGTATTTAACTAACATAAATAATATATGTAGATATTACTAGAGTATTGAATATCATACCAATGCTTGTGTCGTACGCATGTAAGTAGTCTGACGTCATAAACTGTCCCACCAAACTTGATTTGCCAACACCAGGCCCGCCTAACACCACCACGCGGTAACTGCTTAGACCCGCAGAAGAATCTCTGTTTGGAAACAAAAATTTTAAGACTTATCATTGAATGGTGTAAATTGTTAAAATCATAAATAATCTTATAGACTCAACATATTTATTAAATAACATATTTTTTAAGTGTTCTAATTCTTCCATACGATGAAACATATTTTCTCTGTCCCATTATATAAAAGAAATTATGCAAAAAATCGTTTTCTCGTAAGAGCCTGTACTAATTATAACACATTGTTTAACTGTGTTAATATTTTTAATGACAGTTTTTTAAAGTATTTTCGTTTTTTGAAAAAGCTCATATAGTTATTACATTTAAGATGTTTTGTTTTTCTTTCTTATACTTAAATTAACTTTGAATTGTAAAATGTTTAAATTCTGATAATTATAAGTATTTTTTTTATGTTCACTCCATGAAACTGTGCAAAAGTGGAAACTTTGTTGGCTTATGTAATTATTTTTAATATGTGGTAACTATTTTTATGTGTATATGCTGTTTGTTTCCCAATAAATAGATAAATAAAAGTAAATAAATAAATTGTAAGGAACCTTTTGGATAGTTTATATAATTTGAATGGAGTAGCGATGGCAATATTTATCAACTAAGGGACCTTACTCTATGTAAAATTTCAATAGCGTGCTAACCTTGAAGATGCTAATGAACATGGTGCAGATGCTCTTGTCACAGCCTCAGTGCTAGATGCACTGGATGCTACTGAGGTATTAGATCTGGAGCGTCGTGAACGAAGAGAATCTCCTCTATTCACCACGCCTTTACCTGTGATTATAGCAAAAAATTACATATTTAAAGCAATATAGTCACAAATATAGTTGCGTAAATATGCTTGCGTTAAGGCAATATTAGAAATTTGTGCTAAATCATATAGCACTAATCTTTTTTAGGGCTTTATCCATACATTGCAGCCACTAGCCAGTGAAGACATTTGTAGGTAGTTAGCCTAAGTCTTACCAGTGATACTGAAGTGTCGTAATCTATAATATTCTTCCTCAACTCCAGTGTTGGGCATAGATGCTACCCTCGCTCTCTGCTGCGGGAGACCAAGCAGTTGTCTTTCACCGGTTCTGGAACGCTGGGCTTTAACTGACTGGGACCGGGAATGATGAGGGCTGCCGTATCTAAAGAATTAAGAAGAATTTGTGGAGTTAATTATAATTGTGTTTATAAATGGTCACTCTAAGATTTAATGATTTATATATAAAGTATATACGAATACCAATCACTGACCATCTTTTAATGAATATTACAAACTGGACTTTAAAGTACATCTTAAATTTAGCAAAGCATCTCTATTCCGTTGTGCATTTCTTTCTTATAATCTTATCTTATTCTAAATAAATATCATTTTACAAAACATTATGAAATAATATTGAACAGTTTATTATAGTTTATAATATCGCTAACCAGCGTAAAATGCTTTAACACGTAATTTGCGATAAAACCGCCGGAGAACACGACATTCATTAATGCTACATCGACGTTTTCAAACATTTATTATATTGATCACGGAAATTACTATTATAAAACTGAAATAAATAATAAATTAATGACATCTAAGACTTCTAAGTATTCATTTAAATGAAACTAATATCTCACATACTACTATGAAACTGAAATTAATGAGATCTAAGACTTCCACGAGTATTCATTTAAATGAAACTATTATGTCACATCTCTGTCCGTGATCACGGTTGCTGTAAAGTTACCGAACCGTCAGGAGTATGAAGTTTAAAACAATAAAATATGCGTAGTTATTTGAAAATATTAGTTTCATTTAAATAGTAAATTTTTTGCAGAAGATTATGATGAAAACTAATTAAGCAATCATCATAAAAATTAGTGTATGTTATTAGGTAATCTACATCTATTATATCAATCAAAATAATGTCATTTCATTTTTGCCTAAAATATTGTTCTTGCTATTTATAAATTTTGTTTTCTTATAAAGGTAATGCTTACGGCATTTTAAGGATGGTCCATGTTTTTCCGTCCTGTTCACAATAAAACATCAAAACTCTCTATTCAAACAGTATCCATTATTTAAAATCATTTTATAAGTTATTGTGTTTACTCTTTGTGTAGATTGAGTTAATGATCTGTTAATTATCTTGCTTTTTTATCTCGTAAAAACATATCATATTTTTTAGTATAATATTTAATGTAATTTTCAAGTAAACATCAAGTTTAATAATATATACATAGAATTCATTTTAGCTTTCGCTGACGATCTCGCAATACTGACACGTAACCCCAAACACTGTCAAGTACTATTGGATGAAGTGGATAAATTCTGTGAGTGGACGGATGGATTGAGGACAAAACCAAGTAAATGGAATACAAGATATACCTTAAAGGATCCGGGGTTATCGTTGGACGGTCAACGCGTCTTTTTAAGTCTTTCGATATCCAGAGGTCAAAGGGAAATAACCACGAAGAAGAATAAAGAAGGAAAGAACTACAAAGTAGAAGTTGGAGAGATAGGTCGCGGGCATTGTAGCTTCTCCCTGTAACGCGAAGGACTCAGCACCCGCAAGGTGAATCTTTGGAATACTGAAAAGTTTTCGTCGTCATCATATAACTAATTAAAAATTTTTGTTCATGAATCGAAGAAAATTAATAAAAAAGGGTTGAAATAGGTATTTTAGTTTAAAAAAATATTATATGGACAGTGAGAACTTTTGAAGTGAAACTGAATCCGATGATCAAGTGTAAATATAGCACTGATATTAATGCGAAAGATTTCCATTAGTTTTCTAGATTCGTATTAGAAGTATGGGCTTAACTCGAGCGTAGTAATTTTAATTGGTTACTGATTAAGTGATCTTTACTTTAGTAATCAGGATTTGATAAAAATATATAATTGTTTGCCTTATTTTAACTTATTTGCTTTTATTATATGCTTATAATATAAGTCTGAAAAACGATTGTACCTTGTAAGGTTCAAAAATTAAATAGTTTCTGGATTAATTACACACGAGTTTAAAATTCATCTAAGTTCGATGTAAGGAAACTAATTTGTTACGTACGCGCTACATATAAAGAAAAAAATGAACATCGCCGGGGCAACATCTTTGTATCGGTAAAATATCGTATAACGAGTGACGCCGCTGACTCCGCGGAGCCAACACCATGCCGTGTGAACCAGAAGATTCCTGATACCACACAAGCAGTAGAATGCCATTGTCATCCTAACATCGGGGCAGTCATGTAGTCTTAGGCATAGGTTATAAGTTTTAACATGTAATTCGTATTTTAATATACATATAAGTTATGTTTCGTAGTTTTTCTGGAACTTCCGGTTGCCACCTTATATAATTAATCCATAAAGATCAATAATTACATTTTATTTTGTTGTATGTTTATGAACCAAAAACCGTTTTTTACTGACACCCTTGATGCTCGTTTGTTTGTGAAGAGCTGTGGAATGATTAATGTACACGAGACAATGTATTTTATATAAACCTTTTGATTAATGATTTCTTTATGATTCTTTGGTTTTTGATGTGAATTGAAATGTGTGAATAAAGTGCGTAACATGCCGGAGGGTGCTGTACCATTATCTGTAAATCCATTTGTATGTATGAGCCTTCAATATATTTTTTATTGTTTAGTATTTGTTGTATACTACTTAAATATCAAGGTACATGGGATATAGCTTGGTTATAAACGAAAATACGCAGTCTTTATGGTAGATTCACTTTTACAGTTCTAGTAAAGAAAATATATAGGAAGTATATGGAGGTAAAACTTTATTTAGTGAGAGAAAGTCCTAAGTAACAATTTTTTACTAATTAGGTTACGAGGTATAGTTAATAATACATAATAAGTAAACAATTAAAAGTGCCTTTGTATTTCAGGTAATATATTAATGTGAAAGTTTTCAGTCAAAAGATTTTCCTCCCCTTCCCTCTTTAAAAACTCTTTCACCTTTTTATAAGCTTAAAAAATTAAATTTCATAATTTTCTTTAGTAATGAATAAACAGGTTAAGTATAGGTCAAAACCAACCCTTCTATACGTATTCGGCTGCGTCATAGCAAACGAAAAAATATTTTTAATTTCATGTTAAATTTAAATTTCAAATTTCCCTTCGTCTTTATAAACGAAAGCTAAATTTGAAATGCCTGAAATGTTCTCAGTGAAGTTAATGTTATTATGAAAAGACGATCCATACTTTAATAAGGTTTAATAAAGTTTTTTTCGCACAAATTTTTGGACTCGTCTGAAATTGTTTGAGAGGATTATGGCATATAATTTAAAATAATACTTCTTGACATTGGATAAATAAAGTATACACATTTTCGTGCGGATTCAATAAAAAAATATTGCATAGATCTCTCAAAATAAATTGAGTTTTAATACGCCAGCATTTAGAAAAATAAAATCTCGGACTAAAAAGTTGCTATGAAACAAATTGTAAATCTAAGGTGGTTATAACAAGAGTCATATGACTGGTTACATACATATATCCAAGCACAATTTCAACTCCGTTTGAATCCGTGAAGTGGGTCAAATTTACCTCGCCAAATTTGATTACGAACACACACAAAGGACCAGGTGAAATTTGATAAAAATTGTAAAATTGTGACGATAAATACTACAATTATACAATGGTAACTTTTGTATACAATACTTTTTAAAAGCTCTTTTTCAATATTTATCTTTTTATAGTAAGACGTCAAAATTATATAACAATTGCGAGGTTCATCCCATAATTGTCTTGACTTTACTCAAGTGCTATGTGCTCAACGTATCAGACTGGCCTGGCTCATCTGTGGCAGTATAAGTCAGAAGACTGGAGTGAATTGTGTGAATTCTACGAATCGTTCTCATTGAAGAAGCTTTGTTTTATATCAGGAAGACCTGAACACATTTCGTCTTCGTGGAAGTTTGCCAATGTGAACTTCATTTCTACAGGAGTTAGGTGAACTTCATTCCTAAAGGAGTTATTCCTAAAGGACTTAGGAGTAACTATTACCATACTTTTACTGCTCTAGAAGATGATGAAACATGTAAATAACGAGAGTCTTCAGACTTACTTTACAAGAACACAATCTGTATAGTGATTATGATGAACAGAAAAAAGCAGTAATTCACCAATTGGTAAACGTAATTGTAATATGCATAAGTGGCTGGTAGGACCCCATATAAAGTACTCCTTTACACTCTGAGTTCTTACATCCAGGTAGCAACTTGGTTTTTGATCCGTTTAAAAATAAGATATTTTAGCTTTTAAATTTTAGATGAGAAAAATTAATTTATTAAATTTTTATTTCTTACGTTTCATTGCAGTTTCTGGATCGTATATTAAGTGCATTAGCACAATTAGTTGGTCTTTTCAACAAATTGTGTTTGAAGAATACACTTTTCATTTGTTTTTAATATGAAAACGTTTATAAAAGTATTTTAAGTGGCATAGTATATAACATACTAAACAAAAAGAAGGTCAAAAACTAGATCGATTGTGATAAATTATTATCGTCTTAATTCTGTTATTAAGTACAATTTGAAACAAAAAACAGTTTCAGTTACCATGAGGTACATTTTAGAATATTCAAATATAAAATTGAAATTACTGTAAATAGGTGAAAGTTTTTAAATTAAAATAAGGTAAATAGAATTTTAATCTGGTATATCAAGAATTGTAATTATATAAATTGCATCAATAATTCTCCTATTTAGTATAAAGCTACTATTACAATACATTACAATTTGTAAATTAATAACACTTTGTCAAAATATATGTTAGTTTCAGTGTCTGCTTTTGCTAAACAGAGTTCGAACATTTTTTGCATTACATTATTTTAATAATCACAAAGGAATGGTGCTACGTTTTCTTTGACTTAGACTAAAAATATATTAAGCGAAAAATTATTAAGGAAATGGCAAAAGGTGTAACGCCATTGTCACTAAGGAAATCAAATATTCTTGGAAAATCTTTGGAGAAAAATGAAAATTTCATTAAATTTGACGGAAATACACTGTTGAGTTCTCATGGACTTATTTCCTCGATTCTTCATAGGCTTTCAAACACATTTTCTTTGAATGAACAAATCTTTTGTTTTATTTCACATTTCAGAGATTTCTGTTATACTTTATAAGGATAGATAGTATCTACG